CTACTACTACTACTTCTACTACTACTACTACTACTACTACTACTGCTGCTACTACTACTACTACTACCACTACCACTACTACTACTACTACTACTACTACTACTACTACAACTACTACTGCTACTGCTACTGCTACTACTACTACTACTATTACTAATACCACCCTAACGACTAACGGACTACTACTACAATTACTACGTTACCCTACTACTATGACTACTACTACTACTTACAGTACTACTACTACTACTACTACTACTACTACTATTACGTGACGGCGACTATCTTTATGACTACTACTACTATACTACTATTACTACTATCTACTACCACAACCTCAACTACTTACTACTACTACGCTACTACTACTACTACTAATACTAATACTAATACTAATTACTACTACTACTACTAATTACTACTACTACTAATTATTATTATTACTACTACTACTACTACTACTGCTACTACTACTACTACTACTACTACTACTACTACTACTACTACTACTAATACAAATACTACAACTACGACTACGACTACGACTACGACTACTACTACTACTACTACTACTACTACTACTGTGGGCCTTGTAGGGCCTCCTGGGGCCTCAGGGCGGTTCTATATCTACTGGGGCCTTCTGGGGTCTCCTGTGACCTCCTGGGGCCTCCTGGGGTTTCCTGTGGTTTCCTGTAGGTTCCTTGGGTCTCTTGGGGCATCCTGGGGCTCCTGTGGTTTCCTGGTGCTTCCTGGGGCCGCCTGGGGCCTCCTGAAGTGTCCTGGTGCCTCTTGGGGCCTCCTGGCGCCTCTTTTGGCCCAGCGTATACGGCGGCCCAGTGTCACATCCTGGAACCTCCTGGTGCTCCCATGGCGTCCTGAGGCCCCCTTCGTTTCCTGAAACCTCCTGGTGCTTCCTGGGGCATATTGGAACCTCCTGGAGCTGGGGGTTCCGGATGCCTCGTGGCGACTCCTCCTGGGGCATCCCCAAGGAACCCGCAGGAATCCCGAAGGAATCATCTGGAATCTCCTGGGAATCATTGGGAATCCTGGTCCTCTGGGCCCCCTGGGGAATCCTGAGGAACCCACCGCGGATAGTAATCCTTACGGACTGCGTCTGAATCCGAATGGAATGTTTTAAACATCCCTAGGGAATCTTCTAGAATCCCTAGGGAACCCTTTGGAATATCTAAGGGATCCCTAGGGAATCTTGAGGGACCCTTTCTAGGAATCCGTAGGCAAGAATGATGATGAACAACGTCTAGGTACAGCTGTTCTCTTCAGCAGTGGCGAAAATACCGGCAATTCCACTGCGCATCGCTGGCCCCGCTGCGCTGGCTATTTTGAGCGCCGGCTTATCCGCGATTTCACGGCGAAGCCAAGCAGCAACAGCAGCAGCGTTGTTTTCATAGGCAGTGGTGGAAATTCTAGACGCTTCGCGTATCCCCACCAGCCCGTCCAGAAATGAGTCCCAGGGGAGTGGAGGTTATGAGGGAAGCGGGGGAGCATGCAGAAGAACAAAGGGCGGGGTGAGCCGCCATATACCCCAAGAGGGGGAGGATGTAGGAGGAGCCGTCGTCGTCGGAGTAGGAGGAAGAAGAGGAGGAGCAGGAGGAGGAGCAGGAGGAGGAGGAGGAGGAGGAATAGAAGGAGGAGGAGATGGAGGACTGCGAGGACGAGGAGGACGAGAAGGAGGAAAAGGAGAAGGAGGAGGAGGAGGAGGAGGAGGAGGAGGGGGAGGGGGAGGAGGGAGGAGGAAGAAAAAGAGGAGGAGGAGGAGGAGGAGGACAATTGCGAACTTGGGGGCCTCTTGGGCCGTCCTTGGGGCCTCTTGGCGGTCCCGGGGGCCTCTTGCGTATCTCGGGGAGCCTCTTGTGGCCTCTTGGGGGTCTCTTGGGGGCCTCTTGGAGGCCTCTTGGGGGCCTCTTGGGGCCTCTTGGGGCCCTCTTGGGGCGCTCTTGGGGCGCTCTTGGGAGCCTTCGAGGCGCTCTTGGGGCCATCTTGGAGGAGATCTATCAAAGAAGGGGGGGTCCCCAATTAGCGCTGCCCCTCTAGAGTGCCTCGAGTCGCCTCTTGGGCCCCCCCAAGAGGCCAAAATCCTTCCAAAACCTAGGTAAAATCAATGTTTACCTAACAGCGAAGACTGATAGGTTTCTAGTTGACTCAAAAGAGCTCACAGATCACTCCACAGGGGGGTCCGGGCAGGTGTTGGGGAGTTGCCGGGCGGCAGGGTGCCGGGCTCGTTTTTCACCAACAGTCACACACTTCGTGCTCTTCGACTTCCCAGAACTCCATTCCCAGGCCACATTCTGAATACCCGGATGCAACAGTCACACACTTCGTGCTCTTCGAGATCCCAGAACGCCATTCCCGGGCCACATTTAGAATAACCGGATGCAACAGTCACACACTTCGTGCTCTTCGAGTTCCCAGAACTCCATTCCCGGGCCACATTTTGGATGCCCGGAGCCAACTGTAGGCCACTTCCTGGTCTTCGAGTTCCCAGAACTCCATTCCCGGGCCACATTTTGAATGCCCGGAGCCAACTGTAGGCCACTTCGTGCTCTTCGAGTTCCCAGAACTCCATTCCCGGGCCACATTTTGAATGCCCGTAGCCCACTGTAGGCAACTTCGTGCTCTTCGACTTCCCAGAACTCCCACTCCTGGGCCACATTTTCAGCAGGGGCAAGAGCACGACGAGGAGGAGGACGAGCAAGACCAGGAGGACGAGGACGAGCAGGAGCAGGACGAGGAGCAGGAGGAACAGGAGAAGAAGGACGAGCAGGAGGAGGAGGAGGACGAGCAGGAGGAGGAGGACGACCAGGAGGAGGAGGACGACCAGGAAGAGGAGGAGGAGGAGGAGGAGGAGGAGGGGGAGGAGTACCAGGAGGAGGAGGAGGAGGAGGAGGAGGAGGAGGAGGCAGGAGGAAGAGGAGGAGGAGGAGGAGGAGGACGAGGGACGAGGAGAGGAGGAGGAGGAGGAGGGGGGGAGAGGGGAGGAGGAGGAAGGAGGAGGAGGAGGAGGAGGAGGAGGAGGAGGAGGAGGAGGAGGAGGAGGAGGAGGAGGAGGAGGAGAGGAACACCAGGAGGAGGAGGACGAGCAAGACGAGGAGGACGAGAACGAGGACGACCAGGAAGAGGAGGAGGAGGAGGAGGAGGGGAGGGGGAGGACTACCAGGAGGAGGAGGAGGAGGAGGAGGAGGAGGGAGGAGGAGGACGAGGAGGAGGAGGAGGAGGACGAGGAGGAGGAGGGGGGGGGAGAGCACCAGGAGGAGGAGAACGAGGACCACCAGGAGGAGGAGGAGGAGGAGGAGGAGGAGGAGGAGGAGGAGGAGGAGGAGGAGCACCAGGAGGAGGAGGACGAGCAAGACGAGGAGGACGAGAACGAGGACGAGCAGGAGGAAGAGGAGGAGGAGGAGGAGGAGGAGGAGGAGGAGGAGGAGCAGGAGAAAGAGGAGGAGGAGGAGGCAGGCTGAGGCTGAGGCTGTGACTGCGACTGCCGTTGCCGCTGCGACTGTCATCGCGAATGCGACTACGACTGCGAGAACAGCAGAATTCGACAACTGGATTTTCATCTGAATCTTAAGGGGAATGCTTTCAGATATGCTTCTACACATCGCTGTTAGGTTGCTTTGCCGGGATAATTTTTGTTTTCTCGCCTTTTCGCTCTTGGACCCGTCTTGGGAGCCTCTTGGGCCTCTTGGGGGTCTCTTGGGAGCCTTTTGGAGGCCTCTTGGGCGCCTCTTGGGGCCTCTTGGGGCGCTCTCGGGGCGCTCTTGGGGCGCTCTTGGGAGCCTTCGGGGCGCTCTTGGGGCCATCTTGCAGGAGATCGATCAGAGAAGAGGGGGTCCCCAATTAGCGTTGCCCCTCTAGAGTGCCTCGAGTCGCCTCTTGGGCCCCCCAAGAGGCCAAAATCCTTCCAAAACCTAGATAAAATCAATGTTTTCTGTTTTCTCGCCTTTTCGCTCTTGGAGCCGTCTTGGGCCATCTTGGACTCTCTTGGGGCCTCTTGGGGGTCTCTTGGCAGCCTCTTGGAGGCTTCTTGGGGGCCTCTTGGGGTCTCTTGGGGCCCTCTTGAGGCGCTCTTGGGGCGCTCTTGGGAGCCTTCGGGGCGCTCTTTGGGCCATCTTGGAGGAGATCTATCAAAGAAGGGGGGGTTGCTTATTAGCCCCGCCCCTCCAGAGTGCCTCGAGTCGCCTCTTGGGCCCCCCCAAGATGCCAAAATCCTTCCAAAACCTAGGTAAAATCAATGTTTTGTGTTTTCTCGCCTGTTCGCTCTTGGAGCTGTCTTGGGCCATCTTGGACGCTCTGACACCTCGCGACCGGCCCCGTCCAGGTCAGTGGGGAGGGGTAAGGGGAGGGGTAAACCCCTCCCCGAAGGGGAAGAAGGGGGTTGGCAGAGGAAACTCCCTAGACCACCTACGCCCTAAAGGGCTGGTGGGATATCTGTGAGGGGGCATTTGGGGCAGCGGACAAACCAGGCAGGGGCCTTTGAGTCGTTTATCCCCAGGGGTAGGGTCATCCCTGGGGGTGCCTTTCCTGGATTTCGCGTCCCTGGGAAGGGACGGGTAGGAGGGACTCAATGCCGATCCTTGCAAAATCCCCACCACCCCTGGCGTAGCACGTGCGACGCCAGGGGGGCGCGGCCCGTCCACCCATCTCCCCACCATAGGGGGAGGTGCGAAGTCCTTGGAACCGGGACGGGGTGGGCATCGAAGGGCACCATAGGCCTTTCACAATCCAATTGTGGGCACCATATGCCTGCCGCCACCACTTGGAGGTACGCCATATGTCCTCCACCATTCGCGACTTCATGCCAATACTCATTGAACTTCTGTTATCTGATACTTCAACATCTCTCCAGAATGGGCCGCGAATGGGACTTAATGTCCTTGCCGGCCGTCCAGTGCCCCCGCATAGACTTCAGTGAATCCATGGAACCTGGGAGGGGGAGGGCGGGAGGATTTTCGGTGTCTTACCCCCCCGCCCACAAAAAACTTCAGGCTGTTCGACCGGGTGGTCTTCAACAACTGCTACCACCACCTCCACGACCAGCAGGTCGCGCTCCGGCACGTGACAGAGGAGCTGATCTCTGGCGGCGGTGCGCCTGGCGCGGAGAGGGCGGGGACGGAAGCATGGGCGGGGGGTCAATGAGACTCCGGGCCAGGTGCGCTCGTAGCGGGGGTCGAAGTTGACGGGGGTCTTCCTCCTGCTCCTCCTCGTCCTCCTCGTCCTTCTCCTCCTCCGCCTCCTCCTCCTCCTCCGCCTCTTTCTCGTCTTCCTCCTCCTCGTCCTCCTCGCCGTCCTCCTCCTCCTCCTCCTCCTCCTCCTCCTCCTCCTCCTCCTCCTCCTCTCCTCAGAGCTCCTCTGTCTGACCCCAGCTCGGCAGCCACGTGAGGCCGACGCCCCCGGCCGCCACTTCACAGCACCTTAGAGGCCCTGGGAGCTGCTCACACCAGGCGGCGAGCCTGGCTTCGCGACGTGGCCTTTGCCGACCTGGGCGGGCGCTGACCCAGAGGTCCGACGCTCCGACAAAAACTGGAGCAGGCGGGCTTTGGCCGTTTTCGGCGTCCGGGGGCCAAACCGGCCCTGGGGAAGTAGTGGTCCAGGCCTCCAGGGCCCGCGCATCGAAAACATGGGAGCAGCCAGATGTCTGGGGGCCCAAGTCGGCGCGTCCGGGCCCCGTGATGGTTGCATGGATTTGCTTGGGCGGAGACTCAGGAGGTGCTTGATACAGTTGGACCGAGGTGTAAGATCGAGGTGTGTTCGAGGAGATTGCCCTAGTGTTCTTCGTGATTGTTGTTGTTGTTGTTGTTGTTGTTGTTGTTGTTGTTGTTGTTGTTGTTGTTGTTGTTGTTGTTGTTGTTGTTGTTGTCGAATGCTCTTGCGTGTGCTTCCTAGGGAGGGTGCCCATCGGATGTTCTGTTTGTTTGGCTGGAAGGGGGTCTCGTGTTATTGAGGGATGGTTTTCTGGCCGAGGTCCGACTTTAGCGCGTCCCAGGCTCCGTGATTGCATTGATTTTTCTGGCGTGGTGTCTATTGGGGGCTTCGACAGGCCTCTTGGCGACACTGTCTTGTGAGGTTCATGGGTGTTCTTTGGCCGATCGCGGGTGCCTTTTTCTGGCCGCTTAGGAGGCGTTCGTCTTCCTAGCGGTGCTCGTCGTTCCGGGAGAGGTGCGTCTTGTGGTGCAGAAGGCATGCCCCTCCCGGGCGTGCTCGGGTCCTCCTCCGCCGCCCCCTCCTCCTTGGTAGTCCCCAAGCGTTGTGGTGACAACACCCGGCGGCGAGTCTCGGGCGATTTGATGTCACCACCCTGTTTGGGGACACGTGTGGTGTTTTGTGGATGTCCCGAACGCTGGTGGGTCCAGGAGTCGCACAACCCGGCGGTGACCCCGTGTTCCAAAACCCGGCGGTGTTTTGGGGGGGATTCCAGGTCGCCACCTGCTATCTCACCATCTGGTTCAGGAGCTCCCAATCCTCCACTCCCCATCCTTGTTCTAATCCTCGTAAGCTCGTTTCCCCTATTCTACAGGTCTGGTCGTCATCAGCGATCCGCGCGGCAAGCAGGGCGCGCTGAAGGACAAGAAGGCGCCAGCATGGGGCGGAGACTCATCGAGAACGAGGAGTGAGAAGGTAGGGGGGCCACGGGCTTGTTATGCTTGGTCACGAAAACATGGATATGGCCTGGTTTTCAAAGGTCGTGGCCCATGCCGAGACCAGGGCGATGAACACAAACGACGAACCCAGGCAATCCACGTCGTTTTTGGAAGGGGGTCGAAAGGTCCGATGGCCGCTGTCACAACAAAGAGTCATGGCGTCGGAAGTCTGAGGGGGGGAGAGCAGACAAGAATCTGAGGGTGTACGTGTGAGACGAGCAGCAGTAGCAGGAGCGATCTGAGGGACAACTGACGGGGATGAGGACGACCTTGAGGTGATGTTGGAGGCGGTGGGCTGGGAGGAAGCGGAGGAAAAGGAGGAGGCGGGTGCGGATGAAGAAAGGGAGGAAGAGGAGGAGAAGGATGACGAGACAGGGTGGGAAATAGTGATGAAAGGTGGAGGGAGGAAGGAGTAAAAGGGGTGAGGCAGGATCAGGAGTTGCAAGATGAGTCAGCACGGCAGTCATTGGGTTTGAGTAGGGCGCTCTGCCCCTCCAACAAGCCCTGCAATCCGAGTAGCCGATTCCTGCCGCCTGCGCGATCCCCCACCCACGCGTATCGAACAACTCCAGCCATGCTTGCTCAAACCATGTTGGCTCAAGGCTTCCTGGCCTGGCTTTTTCGGCCGGGCTACTCGCCTTGGCAGCCTCGGACAGGGGCACCAAGCGATGGCGGACGCGGAGGACGCGCCCTGGGGCCTGACGCCGAACGAGGTGGCGAGGCTGGATGAGGCCTTCCAGATCTGTGACCGCGAAGGCCACTGGCATGGCTTCGGGTTGCGGCCCCCTCCTCCTCCTCCTCCTCCTCCTCCTCCTCCTCCTCATCCTTGCTCCTCCTTCTCCTACTTCTCATGCTCCTCTCCCCTCCTCATCCCTCCCTCCCTCCCTCCTCCCTCCTCCCCCTCTCCCTCGCCGCCGCTGACAAGTCCCCCACAGGGCGCGCCCCGCGCCTTTTTCCGCGGCCAGCCGCGGACGGGGCCAGGGAGGGCCCACCAGGGAGGGAAAGGCGCCCACACTCCTGCAACTCCCCCTGAGGCCTCTGCTTGGCATCGCTCGGACGTGTGCATTTTTCTCGGTGGAGCGGCTGGGCCGCTCAGACGTGGCAGCGGTACATACCGTAGACGGGTGTAGAATGTCGGTGGCGCCATCTACGGCGTGTTTTTTGTTGGTGGTGAAGTGTGCAGGCAGCGCTAGTGAAGTAGACGTGGTATCTTGTGCGCAACGATGTACTAATACTTGGCATCGCTCGGACGTGTGGGTCTTTCCTTCGGCGGGGACCATCGAGGAGCATCCTTGATCATGTGGCGAAAAAGCCACGCACGGAGCCGAACAAAAGCACAGGGAATGGACGTCCGAGCGATGGCCAGACTCCCCCTGAGGCCTCCGAGGAAAGGGGAAGGCTGGCGGAGCGGCGGGGCCGCTCAAACGTGGCAGCGGTACACACCGTAGACGTTGTAGATTGTCGGTGGCGCCATATACGGCGTGTTTTTTGTTGGTGGTGAGGTGTGCAGCGCTAGTGAAGTAGACGTGGTATCTTGTGCGCAACGATGTACTAATATCGGGGGTGGACAGACCTCCTACCCTGACACGTCGATTAAGGAATTGGCCGTTTTCGGTTCGCGAGAGGGCGTCGCGGCCGTCATTTTTGCGGGTCCAGGTCCGTCGGTTTTGGTCCCAGGCCGTTTTCACTAAGGGGAGGTCTACTAACGGGAGGTTTGTCCATGACCGACATGAAGTAGACGTGGTATCTTGTGTGCAGCGATGTACTAATATACCGTTGTCCGCAACGCTGCAATAGTGCGTGATCTTCTCCAGCTTCTGGCGGGGCGGTCTCGCCTTGTCCTTTATGGCGCCACCTGGTTGTGTAGTTCAGCCGGTGGTCCTCTTTGCCCTGGCTGTGGCTCTCGTAGCTCAGTTTGTGGCCCTTCTAGTTCTGCTTGCGGTTTCCTGCGGATGAAGTAGCGGGGGACGTTGCCCTCCGTGCCGCCGGACCAGCGGACTTCAGTATCTGGACGCTTAGTTCCAAAATCGTATACCCGTCGTACTCTATACCATAGTGGCCCTTCCGCCGTGGCTCCGATAGCGATCGGCGCTTTGGTTGTCCAGGTCTTCCGTAGACCTCTGTGTTCGCCTCGTGGCCCTCGTCCTCCAGCGGCTGGCCCTGGGCGCTCAGCTAGTGGTCCCCGTAGCCCCGCATGTGGCTCCTGCAGCTCCGCGCGCTTGGGTTGTAGCTCAGCTGGTTGCCCCGGCAGCTCTGCTGCCTGCTCTCGCAGAACAGCAGGCGGCATTTGGTGGCATTTTTGGTGGATCTCGCAGCTCTGCTTGCGGGCCCTCCGTAGCTCTGCTTGCGGTCCGCGTAGTTCAGGTTGTGGCCCTCGTAGCTGAGCTGATGGCTCTCGAAGTTTTGCTCATGGCCCTCGCCGTTTAGCTTGTCGCTCTGGCAGATCTGCAGGAGAGATCCGTCGTTCGTTTCGTGTCCCTCGTAGCCCAAGCTGTGGCCCTCGTCACTCGGCAATGAACTCTCGTAGCTGGGCTGGTGGCGCTCGAAGGTCTGCACGTGGCCCCTGCAGTACAGCCTGTCGCCCGGGTAGCTCTGCTGTAGTAGTTGTAATGGAGGATGACGATCAATAAATGACCGGGGGTCGTGTTCACGCGGCGGCGCCCGGGATGACGATTAGAAAAAACCGACCGCGGGCTGGAACAACTATTTCTTAATCGTTCTTTTCCAGTCAGAAAACTGTGCAGAAATAGCAGAAAACCACGTTTCAATCGTTCCCTCCCATCTTTTTATGAATCGTCATCGCGCGCATTACTTGTGGTCCTCGTGGCTCAGCTTGTGGTCCTAGCAGGTCCGCACGCGGCCCCAGTGGCTCTGCTGGTTGCCGTGGCAGGTCTGCCTGCTGCCCACCGCGCGGGCCCGGTGCCTCCGGTGGCTGGGCCGGTGGTCATTCGTAGCCCTGCCTGCAGCTATCGTGGCTCAGCTCGTGGCCCTCGTGGTAAATCGGGGGCGGACAGAACCCCCAATAGCGACACGTCGATTCGTGAATGGTCCGTTTTCGGTTCTCGAGAGTTCGCCGCGGCCGTTATTTTCCAGGCTTGCGCCCGCCAGGTTTGGGTCTCAGGTCGTTTTCACTAAACCACGTTTTACTAAAGGGAGGTCTGTCCATCCCCGAGTAAAGCTGGTGGACCTCGTTGCCCTGTTTGTGGCCATCGTAGCTGAGCTTGTACCTCTCGTGGCTCAGCTGGTGGTTTTCGTAGCCCTGCTGGTGGCCCTCGTAATTGAGGTTGTGATCCTCGTAGTCCTGGGGGTGGCTCTCGTGGCTGTGCCTGTGGCCCTCGTCGTTACGCTTGTGGTGCTCGAAGGGCTGGCAGTTTTCCTGCTAGCTCTGCTGGTGGATGTAGTATTTCTGCTTGTGGCCCTGGAGGCTGAGGTTGTGACCCTCGTAGCATTGCAGGTGGGCTTGTCGGCTCTGACGGTGGCTCTCGAAGCCCTGCTCGCGACCTTGCTAGCTGATCTGGTGGCTCTGGTAGATCGCCTGGTGGTCCTCGTGGCTCTGGTGGATCGGCTGGTAGCCACTCGTCATCCGCTGCCCGGACCCCTTGGGTTTCCGGCTCGAGCCTCGAGGACGGGCACGACGGATCTCTTGCCCGTCAGAAAACCGATCCATTCGAGACGAAATGGGTCGGTTTCTGCTGCCCTGCATCTCCTCCGCCTTCACCTCCCCCTCCGAAGCCTTCCTCCTGTGGCTCAGCTGGTGGTCCTCATAGCCCTGCTTGCGGCTCTCGTGACTCGTGGCTCAGCTGATGGGTCTGGCAGTTCTGCCTGTGGTTCTCGGAGCTCTTGTTGCCCTCGCACAGTCAACCCGCATAGAAAGGATGAGCAACTTCCATGGGTACTGTACCCATGCATCAATCCCCTGCGGCCCATTCTTGGCCGCTTTCGCTAGCCGCGCCCCGCTCGCAAACTGTCGTCGTGGCCTTCCAGGGCCCTTACATCCATATCGTGCGGCCTTCGTATACGGATTGACTGTAGTTTGGCCGGTTGTCCTTGGAGTTCTTATGGCGACTCTCGTAGTTATGCTGGTCGTCAGAGCTCCGCTGGCTCTCGCTGCGGAGCTGGGATGCCCTCCTCGTGACCGTACACCTGGTCCAGGGAGCAGCCGAGGAGTACGCCCACCTGTACGTGCGTCTGGACGTCGGAGTCCACGAGGGCAGAGTTGGAGCCCGCGGATGCCAAGTCGTGGTGCCCCACGATCTGGGTGCCAGCGCCCGTAGCTCTGCTGGTGGCCACGTCGCGTTGCAGGTCGCTCTCGTAGCTCTGCTGGTCGATGTCGTGGCTCTGGCGTGCAGCCCTCGTAACTCTGGTGGCAAGGCGAGGAACCCGTATGCGGCGTGTTCGTCGTAGCCGTCGTGCTCGCCGTGCCGGTTACAGGGGTCGTAGTCGTACTCGTCGTAAGCGGCGCGGCCACTGTCCACCGGTACCCTTTGTCATTCTTTCGGGCTGCTCGGTCGTGTCGTGCCTGGTGTCGACCTTGGCAGTGTACTTTGCGTCGTACTGGTGGTGGTTCTCGTCCTCGGGCTGCCTGCTGCGATGTCGCCAGATCCAGGTTGTATCACATGCCGGACGTTGTTTCCCACTCGTTTTCGGGCCGCGTCTGTTCGTGCCCGTATTCCTCTCTGCCTGTCTGGTCTCGGCACACTTGCTGGTAGATCTTCACCAAGGTGGGTAGGTCTCACAGGCCCACGGTAATGTCGGAGGTGTCTGCCTTGTGATTCTCGGCCTGGACGAAAGGGGGGGATTGGGAAAGGGGGGGTTACGAAATTTGCTGCATGCAGCTGGTTTCGTCCCCACCGAGGGGCCCATTCCTCGATACACAGCCGCCTCTGGCGCCGGGAGGCGCCGGGAAAATCAGCTACGTGAGTTGATTCTCAACCCCCCCCTTTGCTAACCCCCCCTTTCTCCCGCCCCGAGATTCAGCTGGTGGACGATGTCACAGTCGTGGCTGGTCACCTTCGTGCCAAGGCGGCGCCCCCTGACCGCGGCCGCGGGTGGAGAGCCTGAGGCCAGCCCGCGGGGTGCGCGGCGCGCGCGCGGCGGGCGAGTGCGGGGGAGGGAGGCCGCATGTGGCCTTCTCCCTCCCCCTCCTTCCTCTTCCTCCTACGCTTCCTCCCTGTTTCTCGTCGATCCCTTTTCCTTCTAACCAACTCCTTCCGTCCGCACCCCCAGAGGTGTCGGTTGGGCGGGCCGGGCGTTTCGCTCGAGATGTTCACACCGTTTATGACCATGAAGTTCGAGGACCGGTGCAACAGTTTGAAGGATGGGGGGCGTGTCCTTTGCAGAATGTGGCTCTCGCATTCGCGCCACGCACATTCGTTTTAAGCATGTGCGGCATCTTCGCGGATTCTGGGCATGTAGCTTCCAAAATGTGGCTGTCGCCTGAGCGCCGCGCGCATTCGTCGTAAACGATTGCAGCAGTTTCAAGGCTGGAGGATGGTTCCTTTTCAAAATGTGGCTCTCGCTTGAGCGCCGCACGCATTCGATTTAACAATGCAACAGTTTCAAGGGTGCAGCATGGTTCCTTTTCATCATGCGGCTCTTGTCTTAACTCCGCGCGCATTCGTCTTACAAGGTCGCAGCAGTTTCAAGGCGATGCATTCAGATTGCCAAGGCGCAATCGTCTCGTTGATTTGCAGTGCTGAGGTCCCAGGAGTGGTGTTCTGGCACGATTTGGGAGTATCAGGGCGCAGCAGGCACGCGGATCCCCTGCGTTGAAGTCGCAGGAACTGTATTGCGGTGCGGTTGGAGATCATCAAAAGGTTACCTTTCAACGGGGCACTCCCCACAATGATTATCCCGGCAAAGCAACCTAACAGCGCTGTGTAGGAGCATATCTGGAAGCATTCCCCTTAAGATTCAGATGAGAATCCAGTTGTAGAATTCTGCTGTTCTCGCAGTCGTAGTCGCATTCGCGATGACAGTCGCAGTGGCAACGGCAGTCGCAGTCACAGCCTCAGCCTCAGCCTGCCTCAGCCTCAGCCTCAGCCTGCCTCAGCCTCAGCCTGCCTCAGCCTCAGCCTCAGCCTGCTTCAGCCTCAGCCTCAGTCTGCCTTCAGCCTCGGCCTCAGCCTCAGCCTGCCTCAGCCTCAGCCTGCATCAGCCTCAGCCTCAGCCTGCCTCAGCATCAGCCTGCCTCAGCCTCAGCCTCAGCCTCAGCCTGCCTCAGCCTCAGCCTGCTTCAGCCTCAGCCTCAGTCTGCCGTCGGCCTCGGCCTCAGCCTCAGCCTGCCTCAGCCTCAGCCTGCATCAGCCTCAGCCTCAGCCTCAGCCTGCCTCAGCCTGCCTCAGCCTCAGCCTCAGCCTGCCTCAGCCTCAGCCTCAGCCTGCTTCAGCCTCAGCCTCAGTCTGCCTTCAGCCTCGGCCTCAGCCTCAGCCTGCCTCAGCCTCAGCCTGCCCTCAGCCTCAGCCTCAGCCTCAGCCTCAGCCTCAGCCTGCAGCCTCAGCATCAGTCAAGCCTCAAAAGGCCTCAGCCTCAGCCTGAATCAGGCCTCAGCATTCAAAATGTGGCCCGGGAATGGAGTTCTGGGAACTCGAAGAACACGAAGTGGCCTACAGTTGGCTCTGGGCATTCAAAATCATGCCCAGGAATAGAGTTCTGGGAATTCGAAGAGCACGAAGTGGCCTACAGTTGGCTCCGGGCATTCAAAATGTGGGCCAGGAATGGAGTTCTGGGAATTCGAAGAGCACGAAGTGGCCTACAGTTGGCTCCGGGCATTCAAAATGTGGGCCAGGAATGGAGTTCTGGGACCTCGAAGAGCACGAAGTGGCTTACAGTTGGCTCCGGGCATTCAGAATGTGGCCCAGGAATGGAGTTCTGGGACCTCGAAGAGCTCGAAGTGGCCTACAGTTGGCTCCGGGCATTCAAAATTATGCCCAGGAGTGGAGTTCTGGGACCTCGAAGACCACGAAGTGTGTAACTGTTTGCTTAAAACGACTTCCGCGGCTTCTCCCCGGCACCCGCCCAGACCCCCCTGGGGAGTCAAGATGTTCTCTTTTGACACTACTAGAAACCTATCAGTCTTCGCTGTTAGGTGAAAAGAACTGTTTGTAGGGAGCCATGGGGAGGGAGCTTGGAGGGAGGGATGATTGTGACGCCGTTAATGCGTCCTGGGTTTGCACTGGTCCACCACCTCTTCCCCCTCCTCCTTGACCTCCTGACCTTCACGACCGCCGCCTTCAAGGATTGAAGAGCTCATGTGGCCCACACGACTCAGAAGGGTCACCCCTGCCCTCATGGGCATCAGCAGTGCACGACAGCCCTCCTCCTGGCCGTCACCCTGCCGCGCTCCTCCGACCAGTCCTGCTGCGTGCCACCAACCACAGCCGGCCTCATGCCGGCGACACCCCGCCGCGAGTCCTTCTGCGTGCCACCAACCGCAGCAGTGGTCGCTCCTCCGACCACTGCTGCGCGACACCCGGCCTCCTGCCACCACAGCCTCCTGGTCCTCCTCCTCCTCCTCCACCTCCTTCTCCTCCTCCTCCTCCTCCTCCTCCTCCTCCTCCTCCTCCCCTCCTCCCCCTCTTCCTCCCTCCTCTCTCCTCCTCCTCCCCCTCCTCTCCTCCTCCTCCTCCTCCTCCTCCTCCTCCTCCTCCTCCTCCTCCTCCTCCTCCTCCTCCTCCTCCTCCTCCTCCTCCTCCTCACCCCGCCTTCGCAGCAATGCACGACAGTCCTCCTCCTCCTCGCCCCCCGGATGACGAGGCCCCGAGGGCCGCCGGCAGGGCCTCGGGCCGCGCACGCACGGCCTCTCGAGGCAGCCCCCCGTTGGCCTCCGCACGGCGGGCACGGCCGAGGGGGGCCACCCTCCGGAGGGTCGCTGCCCCCTCCTGGGGATTGAGTGCCCAAGGCGGGCCAAGCAGAGGGCCTAAGAGGGGCCTAAGCAGAGGGCCTAAGAGGGGCCTAAGCAGAGGGCCTAAGAGGGGCCTAAGCAGAGGGCCTAAGGAGGGCCTCCTGGGAATCGGAAGGTCAGCAGAAAGATCGGGGAGCCAACAGCTCTGGGGCAGGAGCACCCGAAGCAGTTTCAGCCTTCCCGCCCCTCGCGCTCCTGTTCCTCGGCCCGGGTGCCGACGAGTCCAGGAGGAAAGTCCGAGGATCGAATAGGTTTGGGACGTTCGGGATTGTTTCGTGTGGTTCTGTCTGTGTGTGTGTGCGTGCGGTGGGCTTCGCCCTCTCCTGGCCGCGTGAGGCCCCGCCTTCTTCCGCCCTTTCTCTGTTAAGTAAAGCTGTGCGCGTCCCGCTCAGCTTTCAGCGGAAGAGGTTCGCTCTCGCCCTGCAGATCAAAAAAAAGTGTGTGCGTGCGGGCTCTGGGCGCTCGTCCCCCCCCCTTCTCGGGAGGAGGCGGCGACCTCCCTGGGCCAGTCTCAGCATCCCGGCGCCGCCTCCGGCGGGGCCTGTGGAGACCGCCCAGGGCTACAGTCAAAAACCCTAATAAGGACGCGCGACTTTGCTCATGTTACCCTTGCGTCCTTGCTCTTCCTTGCTCTTGCGTCCTTGGCGTTTTCGTCGTCCGCCGCCCCAAAAATCCCAACTTCGGCTTCCAAGGGTCTTGCGTCCTTACCGCGCGTCCTTATCAGGGTTTTTGACTGTACCCTCGTGGCCCGTTGAGGCAAGCTGGAGCTACCTCCAGGAGCCGCCTGCGAGCAGCCCCGAGTTTGGCCACCGGAGGCCACAGCATGATCTCGTGGCAGCCAGGCTTCAAGCACTTCTGGAGTTCACTGGGCCCAAACCCCATGGAGTCGGGCTTCGAGAGGACCTTCGAGGACAGCAAGAGGGACAACGGCTGCTTCATAGTGGATCTTTTGGTGAAGATCTATGGTTCGGACGAGCCGCGGTGCAGCAAGGACCACGTGCGCCCTTAGGAGCTCACCGAGGCATTCGAGATGTCCGACAAGGATGGCACTGGCATGAGATCCGTGCCGCAGCTGCGGTATATGATCCAGTGCCTCGGTGATCCTCTGGAGGACGAGGAGGCGGACCAGTTCATCGTTTTGGCAGACAAGGAGAAGGCCGGCGCGGTCAAGTACGAGGACTTCGTCGACGCGATGTTCGACGGCAGCCCCAAGAATCGAGCACTGATGAGGCGTCCTGGCTTGCCTATAGCCTACAAAAATGTTCGTATAACCTGTTGTGATTTGCAGAGCATGTCATTAGAACACGTTTGGCCGAGACTGTCTCGTTTCAGTATGCCGGGTTTATTGTCTAGGGTTCTGGCAAGATTTCCGTGGTAGGCCTATAGGAATGCCTGGACGGTCGCTCCTGCCCTGTAGGTTTGCTTCGAGCCCGCGCCGTCCGCACGTCTTTGCCAGTGTAGGGGACTGGAGCAGGGCGCGCGCAGATGCATTGGGAGGGCGCGGCATGGCGCCTTGCACAGGACTGGCCGTTCAAGCCGGCCCAGAGAAGAAGCGCGCGCCGGAGGCAGGTCCTGCTGTAGGTTGAGCAGTGCATCTTGTACAGCGCGACGATTTCTTTTCGCTTGAGCCTGGACGGTCGGCCCCCGATCGCAAGAGTTGATCGCGGGCACGAGCAGGGGGCGGCTTCCCAAGAAGGGCGCGGCTCCTTTGAGAGGCACTCCTGCGTTGCAGAGAGCCGCGCTGCCCTGCCATTGTCGAGGAGGAGGAGGAGGAGGACGAGGAGGAGGAGGAGGAGGAGGGGGAGGAGGCGGAGGAGGCGGAGGAGGCGGAGGAGGCGGAGGAGGAGGAGGGGGGGCTGGAGCCACCACAAGGCCCAAAGAAGAAATCAACGCCCTGAACATACAGTCAAAAGCCCGAATGAGAACGCGCAACTTTGCTCGGGGTACCCTCGCGTCCTTGCTCTTCCTTGCTCTTGCGTCCTTGAGGTTTTCGTCGTCCGCCGCCCCAAAAATCCCAACTTCGGCTTCCAAGGGTCTTGCGTCCTTACCGCGCGTCCTTATTTGGGTTTTTGACTGTAGATTTCTGGCGCTCCGCGCGGATTTCTTGGATCCGCGCTGGGCCTCCCCGGCAGCGGGGCCGGCGCGCCCCGCGCGCCAGAGAGGGGGGGTCCAGCGCAGATCCGAGAAATCCGCGCGGAGCGCCAAAAGCTTACGTTTATTCGTCTGCACTGACTGAAGCTTCGGTTGGCACCCGAATATGGATTTTATCCCTTGCTCTCTCTCTCTCTCCCTCTCTTATTTTTCGCTCTCTCTCTCTCTCTCTTTCTCTCTCTCTCTCTCCCCCTCTCGCTCTCTCTCTCTCTCTCTCTCTCCCTCTTTCGCTCTCTCTCTCTCTCTCTGTCTCTCTGTTTCTCTCTCTGAGCTTCGACCGGAAGAGGTGCGCTCTCGACCCGCGGATCAAAAAACAAACTGTTTCTCTCTCTCTCTCTGTTTCTCTCTCTCTCTCTCTCTCTCTCTCTCTCTCTCCCCGTCTCTTTCTCTTACATTCCCCAAACAGTTCGGGCACGTAGGGGTTCTTTTCTCTTCTGCTCCGAGGTGGGCTGCGTCTTCGGTCCGGCGGCTCCGCGAGCGCCGTGTCAGCTCCGGCCCAGGTCCAGCCTGGCGGGTAGCCCTGGGCCCCACCCTCTGCCTCTGCCTTGGCCGTGGCCCGTGCTTCACTCCAGGCCCTGAGCTCCGCGTGCGCCGGTCATTATCCAGGTGGTGCAGCGTGCACCAGCACCGCCTGGTGCGGTGAGGCCTGGCGCGGCCTCGTCCAGTCTGATCTGGCGCGTGCCTGCCTGTGTGCGGAGGTGGTCCTGTCGGTGCTGCTCTGGGGCTAAAACTCCAAGAGCCATGCGGAGACATGGGCGTGCAGCGCTTGCAACAGTTTGAAGCAGCGCGGTTGCTCAAGTGGCTCCTTGTTATACTCCTCGGTCTCTCCCCACTCGCTTTCGTACTCTTCATCGGCCTCCGCTTCCCCGCCATTGAAGTCTTCATTCTCCTCGTGTGCGCCTGCCGTATGCTCTCTTGTCCTCGACCTCCCCTTCCCGCGCTGCCCCCTCACTCTTGTTTATGATGTATGTGTCCGCATTCCCGGGAGCGGCATGCATGCGGACACCGGGGTGCCTTATTCTACTCTGGTCGTCTGTGTTCTGGCCAGTTCCCTGTTTGGCCTGTGCTGTTCCTGAGTGGCGTGGCTTGCTCTGGCCGGTTCTTGTGATCTTGCATCTTGCTGTACGGCAGTGAATACTGCAGGCTCTAATTTAAAACAGGGCTAGGATCGGGATAAATCGCTCCAGAGCGTTCCGGAGCGCTCTCAGAGCGTTCCGGAACGCTCTGGAGCGGCCGCAGCGCCTAATACATCCTCCAAACCCGGCGATTCTCCGAGATTTCGAATTCTGTCCCGATCTCCGCGTCGTTTTATAATTGTGTGTAGTACCGTACGGTCCGCTGTGCTCGGGTGATGTGAGGGGAGAGGAGCCGGTGGATCGGGCGAACCAGCCACAGCACAGCGAAAAAGCTGCAGAATCGTGGTGCCATCAGCTTGGCATCGCTCGGACGTGTGCATTTTTCCTTCGGCGAGGGCCATCGAGGAGCATCCTTGATCATTTGGCGAAAAAACCACACACGAAACCGGAAAAAGCACAGGGAATGGACGTCCGAGCGATGGCCAGTCAGTGAGTTAGGCCCTCGCCAGCCCCCTGAGGGGTCCCGCATCGGCGGTCTTTCTAGGGGGCTTCTCGGAGATGCGGCGCCCTCGCTGGGGGCCTTTCGGGGAGCGTTGGAGTACAATGCCGTTTTTCATACATGCTCCGCGTGCGGATCATGTATTTTAAATGCAGGGATTTAGTATTCAAAACAACGAGGAGTTCATGCATACATTTATTCATACATGAATCATATATATATAAAAAAACAGATTTTACAATAAAAAACGATGTATTAACAATTCCCCTGTATAAACCTGGGGGCCTCGCAGGGTCCTCGTCGGTCGTCTTAGCGGTCCACGTGCGCTAATGAGGGCTCTTCGGGGGTGCGGGCTCATTCTTGGCCCCTCACGAGAGCGCTTGAGGTGCCTCCTGCGCTCATGAATATTGTCTTGGATGCCCTTGGCGATTCAGTGGCCTGCGAGGCCGTCTTCAGAGTGTCTTGGGGCCGTTCAGGTCGTCTGGTGGCCTCTCGGTCTCTTTCTGGGCCGTCTAGGGGGCCTCGTGGACGCCGCTCATGGGCCTCTCGGGCCGTCTTGGGCGTCTCTCGGAAGCGTCTTGGGGGCTCGTGGGGCCTTCTGGGGAATTTCTTGGGAACGCGAGGCGGGTGGTAGCAGAAACAGATGGTCCTGTGCAAGCCTTCTTGAAGGCCAACGCGGGTACAACAGGTGCTTTGATGGCAATTGCACGTCGGCGCCTTCGGCATTAGAGGCGTACACATGCGGTAGGGGGAAACAATCTGTGGACACTCCCCCGCTCTCCCAAACTCAAAGTTGGCACGCGCGGGGGAGACTGCGGTCGAAGTGCAGCTCATCAGACCCACCGCCACCTTCGAACATTGGGGCGAGGGGGAGACGTTAACCGATGAATGTGGCATGCATGTTCGCTATGTTTGTTCCGAGGCCTGTATGGCTTTGTAGGGGTAGTCCCCCCCCCCGCGTGATTGCGAGGGTTGCAGGGGGGAGCTTGTAACACGTCGGGGCCACCTGCCGTCCAGAGGGCTGGCGGGACTCCGAGTCAGCTGTTGCATCGCCCTTGCAATCTAAACCATCGCCTAGCTAAGCCTTGGCCGAGCCGTGCAGTTAAAACCTTCGAGTAAGGAGAGTCCTGTTTTCAGACGGAGCGCCCGGAAACGCTAGACTGAACGTATCGCGACACAGGCATGCGTGATTATCTCGACTCGCCACAGTTCTGGGTCCTGCGCTCAAAATCGTCGCCCCAGACATCACCTGCATGGAGGGTGGGTGTCCTTGCCAGCAGCCAGCATCTCGAGTCGGATCCAGCTCACCGCCCACCAAACCATCCCAAGCCAGCCCGAAGGCCCGGAAATGCCCTCCATTTCTTGTGGGGGGGGGGTCGGGGAACCTGGAGAGAGAACGCACACGAACCCCGAACCCCCCCCCCGCCAACCCGAAAGCCGGGCCTTCGGGTTGGGTTGGGGTGTTTTTGGGTGGGCAGGCACCAACCGTGGCCACGAGGAGGAGGAAGAGGAGGAGGAGAAGGAGGAGGAGTAGGAGGAGGAGAAGGAGGAGGAGAAGGAGGAGGAGGAGGAGGAGGGACAAGGGGGAGGACGAATGAGGGAACAGAGTGAATGCAGGAGTAAGAGCGAGTAGGAAGAGGAGGAGGAGGAGGAGGAGGAGGAGGAGGAGGAGGAGGAGGGCGCTCTTCAGGAAGCAGCGCAGGCGCAGCCCCCAAACATTTTCGGCCCGCGGGCCCTCGGTCCTGCCCACCCCCCCTCTCTCCGCTCCGGGCCGCCCAGCTGGGGCCAGAGGTGAGTCGGGCACGTCCCTCCACAGGAGGGATATGTCCAGAGATTGAAAAAAGAGTCAGGGGACGGACGATTGCTCTACAACTTTTGGCTATTTTCGATTCTGCTTGGATCATGTTTCCATCTCTCGTCCAAAAAATCCGCCTGTAGGGGGACAATCCCGTCCTGAGGCTAGAGCAGATGGATTTGGAGGGTCGCGCCGCATCGCTGATGGATGACGTGATCTGGATCCCGATCACTCCGTCCCGGCGTCGCCGCGGAGATGCATCGGCGATGCTGTGCGATCTTCAACGCTCGTCTGCTCTGGCCCCTGTGCGGCCTCCATCCCCCCCCCGTTTCGAGGCCTCTGGGCGGTGCGCTGACCGGACCGTCCCGTGAGTCAAAATACGGTTCGGGGTTGGCGGACTGTTTTGGGGCTTGGATCTTTCTCGGAGGAGGTCTCGGGCGCCTGGGGGTGGAAGCGTCCAAAGCCGTGTGGTGACTGACCGCGCGGTGAGGCCATATAGATGCCGACGTCATCTCGCACGGTCCGTCACCAGACGTTCCTGGGACGCCCCACGGGCGCGGACCTTCGCGCGCAGGCTGCCCGGGTCAGGCCGCGTGCGGGCTCCCTCCTCTTATTCTTACCAGCCGGAACATATCCCTATCCCTATGCTGGGCACCTCCTCATCACGATGCCAATCTCAGGGATTCCCTTATTTTTTGAGGGCGGATCCCTAAGATTGTCATCGCCTTTGGGCGTGTCAATCTGAGGGATAGGGGTACGTTCGAGGCTGGTAATCCTCGGCGCGCCGGCTGCCGCGCTGTGGCAGCCCGCGGCAGCCCCACCGCGAGGGGTCCCTGTATGGGACCCCCCCGCCCTCCGCCGCGCCACCGCGCGTGGAGCGTGGAGCGTGGAAGGGCGCACCCTGGGGGCAGCCCAGCTCCATCTTTCGGCATCGGTTTGCCGATCCCCTCCTCCTCCTCCTCCTCCTCCGCCTCCTCCTCCTCCTCCTCCTCCTCCTCCTCTTCCTCCTCCTCCTCCTCCTCCTGCTCCTCCTCCTCCTCCTCCTCCTGCTCCTCCTCTCCCCTTCGAGGCCCCCACCAAAATTACCACCCCAGCTGGGGACACGCCCCTCGAAGCCCGAAGGGAACGACCTAGATCCCCACAGCGTGGAGTAGGAAGCCCTGGGGCAGCCCAGCTCCATCTTTCGGCATCGGTTTGCCGATCCCCTCCTCCTCCTCCTCCTCCTCCTCCTCCGCCTCCTCCTCCCTCCTCCTCCTCCTCCTCCTCCCTCCTCCTCCTGCTCCTCCTCTCTCCCTTCGAGCCCCCCACCAAAATTACCACCCCAGTTGGGGACACGCCCCTCGAAGCCCGGAGGGAACGACCTAGATCCCCATAGCGTGGAGCAGGAAGCCCTGGGGGAGCCCAGCTCCATCTTTCGGCATCGGTTTGCCGATCCCCTCCTCCTCCTCCTCCTCCTCCTCCGCCTCCTCCTCCTCCTCCTCCTCCTCCTCCTCCTCCTCCGCCTCCTCCTCCTCCTCCTCCTCCTCCTCCTCCTCCTCCTCCTCCTGCTCCTCCTCTCCCCTTCGAGGCCCCCACCAAAATTACCACCCCAGTTGGGGACACGCCCCTCGAAGCCCGGAGGGAACGACCTAGATCCCCATAGCGTGGAGCAGGAAGCCCTGGGGGAGCCCAGCTCCATCTTTCGGCATCGGTTTGCCGATCCCCTCCTCCTCCTCCTCCTCCTCCTCCTCCTCCGCCTCCTCCCTCCTCCTCCTCCTCCGCCTCCTCCTCCTCCTCCTCCTCCTCCTCCTGCTCCTCCTCCTCCTCCTCCTCCTCCTCCTCCTCCTCCTGCTCCTCCTCTCCCCTTCGAGGCCCCCACCAAAATTACCACCCCAGTTGGGGACACGCCCCTCGAAGCCCGGAGGGAACGACCTAGATCCCCATAGCGTGGAGCAGGAAGCCCTGGGGGAGCCCAGCTCCATCTTTCGGCATCGGTCTGCCGATCCCCCGTCCCCACCCCCTATCCCCCCTTCGAGGCCCCCACCAAAATTACCACCCCAGCTGGGGACACGCCCCTCGAAGCCCGGAGGGAACGACCTAGATCCCCATCCAGGGGGCTAGATCGGCCAGTGGGGCCCGGGCCACGCCGCTGGGGATGGGGATCGGTTCAACGATACTCCATCTTTCTCCGCTCGCCGCCCCCTCCGGGCGCTCAGTCCACGGCCGCGCCGGCCTGGCCTGACCTCGGCACAGCTCCCCGCCGCGTCGCAGCGCGCGCGCGCCACGCCTCCCCTTTCCAGGGTTCGTTTGGACTCCTCCGATTCGATTCGGTTCGATTTCGATGGCCTCCGATTCCAGTTCGATTCGACTTGGGATTCCGGTCTGGGCTCCGATTCTTTATTGGATGCATGCGAGCCTGCCGTTTCCCCGACTCGGCTGCCGATTTCCGCCGATCTGGTTAATTCCGATCGCCGATCCGACTTATCAATTCGACTCTGGGCGTTCTTGCCCCTCTCCGCATCCTCGGTGGCCGCACTGCTCGCAGCGAGGCCCACCCACACGCGGACCTGCGCGACCTGCCGAGCAAGAACCAGCTGGCGAAGCGCCCCCCTTAGAGCGCGCCGATCGCCGCCGCACGCCGAGGGGGGGCAAGAGCATCACCAGCCTGGAACATATCCCTATCCCTATGCTGGGCACCTCCTCATCACGATGCCAATCTTAGGGATTCCCTTATCTTTTGAGGGCGGATCCCTAAGATTGTCATCGCCTATTGGCGTGTCAGTCTTAGGGATAGGGATACGTTCGAGGCTGGTAGGAGCAGGGCCAGGGCTCCGCGCGGGCCGTCGGGGGCGGCGCGACCGAGAGGGCCCGCGTTTCACCGAGCGCGGTCCACCCCGCGCAGAGTGCCTGCGCGCAGACGTCCGCAAAACACGCGCGTTTGGCGCGTTGAAGTGGATCGTCAGGCCTTCGCGGAGGATCCAGGCCATTTGTGAGCAGTTATTTTGCGGGTAGTGGAGCGCGCTTGTCTCATTTTGAGCAGGGCTCGCAGTCGCTGTCGCCGCGGTCGTTGGCCGTTCAAGATGAGCGTCGCCTGTCCGACGGCGGCCGCTTTCAGTTTTGGACCATCTGTTCGCTGTTGGGCATCGTCATCCTCCTTATGTTTTCCTTCTCCTGGCGTGCCAAAACCCCCGCAGGCTTCCTGACCTCCGGCGGACCGAGTTTGGCACGTTTCGGGTTGCTCACGCAAGGGGGATCGGCCAGTCCCTTCTGATCCTCCCGAAGCTGACCCTGGAGGAGGAGGAGGAGGAAGAGGAGGAGGAGGAGGAGGAGGAGGAGGAGGAGGAGGAGGAGGAGGAGGAGGAGGAGGAGGAGGGAGGACGGGGAGGAGGAGGGGGGGAGGGGGAGAGGAGGAGGGGGAGGAGGTGGAGGAGGAGGGAGGAGGAGGAGGAGGAGGAGGGAGGAGGAGGAGGGAGGAGGAGGAGGAGGAGGAGGACAGGCAGGCCCTGGTTGGGGAGCCGTGCGGAGCCGACCCCCCGAGTCCCTCCGCTGGCCCTGGCTCGGTAGCTACTTCGCGGCGCGAGGCCTGGCACTCCGCGCTACGGCCCTGGGCGGACCTTGGCTGGCGCGGACCCGAGCCGGAGCGTCCCCTAGCTTCGCTTCCCCCCCCGATGGGCTTGTTTTTGTTTCCAGCACTACCATAAGTAGGAGGGGGGAGGGGGGTCCTCCTCCTCCTCCTCCTCCTCCTCCTCCTCCTCCTCCTCCTCCTCCTCCTCCTCTCCTCCTCCTCCTCCTCCTCCTCCTCCTCCTCCTCCTCCTCCTCCTCCTCCTCCTCCTCCTCCTCCTCCTCCTCCTCCTCCTCCTCCTCCTCCTCCTCCTCCTCCTCTCCCTCCTCCTCCTTCCTCCTCCTCCTCTTCCTCCTCTCCTCCTCCTCCTCTCCTCCTCCTCCTCCTCCTCCTCCTCCTCCTCTCCTCCCTCCTCCTCCTCCTCCTCCTCGCCTCCTCCTCCTCCTTCCCCTCCTTCTCTTCCCTCCTCTCCACCTCATTCCCTTCCCCTCTAACTTATGGTAGTGGTAGTGGGAAACAGGCCCATCCCCCCCCGCCCTTCCCCCCTCAGTTTCAACCTCTGGGATCAGTTTTTCGGGCCCTGGGACCCTCAAAACGATTTGAGATGAAGAACGAGCTGCAGCGGAGGTCGCCGTCTGGAATGCTCAGATCCAGATTTGAAGAAGCGAGAACGCGGAAGTATTTTGAAAACATATAGGAAATCAGACATGTTTGCTTCCTCGAACTTGTGTTGTGTGGGTCCTCTTTGGGCCCTCGGGGCGTGCTGGGCCGTCTTGCGGCCATCTTCGGTTTTCTGGAGGCCTCTTTAGCGCGTTGGGGCACTTGGAAGCTATCTTCGAAGGCACTTTGGGCATTTTGGAGGCCGCGTAGGGGAGGATCTGGAGGCCCGGAGGGCCCGAGACGTGGGTTGACGAGCACGTACCCGCACCTAACCCCCCCATTACTATAGGATTTTCGATCCCATGGGGCAGGGAAACGGGCAGGGGGGACAGCCGGTCATCTCACACTCCTGCGGGTCGGCGGATCTTCCGGTTTCCCTACTGATAGTTCGTGTCGTGCCGAGTTCGGCGTTGGATCTTAACCCCGCGCTGGATCCTTCAACCTTGAACGATCGGCCATGAACCGAAGCGTCAGGTCTTTCAGCATCGACCGATTCTGGGTCGCTGGCGGCGCTCCACGTTGAACGCGGGCGGCGGGGTCGCCGCCGGTCGAGACGACGCGGACCTGCCGTAGCCCTGGCCACCACATCAGAGGGGCGTCCGCCCTCGGCAGCCCTCGGCAGCCCTCGGCCACCACATCGAGAGTTTGAAGCAGCGCCCTCGGCAGCCCGCGGCAGCAGGGGTACCCGATGCTTCCGGAGTCGGCCATGTCATCCAGTATAGGCTGCAACTTGTCGAGCCTCGACCCCGTGAAAGAGGGGCATACCAGGCTCGAGCTCCCATGGGCGAAGAGCTCCCGCCATAACCGACCTGACATGCAGACCTCGCGTCGCCTCTCTGGGGCAGCGCAGATCGAGAGAGGTGGTCTGAGGGTGGGTGGGGGATTTCTCCGAAGAGCTTAGGCGACCCGTCCTCCTCCTTCTCCTCCTCCTCCTCCTCCTCCTCCTCCTCCTCCTTCATCTCCTCCTCCCCCTCCCCCTCCTCCTTTTCCTCCCTTCCTCCTCCTCCACCTCCTCCTCCTCCTCCTCCTCCTCGGGTCGCCTACGGCCAGGGGGGGGAAACCGTGCAGACGGGGGGTGGAGAGTGGGTTGCCCCCGTGCCGGGCCCAGAAATGGGGATCCTGGGGCCCATCCCTCCTCTCTATGATTGGCTGTTCAGCTGCAAGGAGGATGTGCCCACACCTGGCGACGCGGCGCAGCATCGGCTGCAAGGCGATCGGCGTGCAAGCCTCCCTGGCCTGTCCGAGTCTGGCCGCTTGGCGGGTGCGCTCAAGAGTTCGTCCTTGTGGCACGGATCTCTAAGTCGCTGCGTCTCGCCAGCCCTTGTCATGAGGTAGCTAAAGCACTCACAGATGCCGTGGTGATCGTTTTCTTATTCCTTGTTTTGCCGATCGGCGCCAGCCCTCGCTCCCGCCCCCCTGGAGTAGATCTTGTTTTCTGTTCGGCGCTTGTTTCGACTGTTGCAAACAGTTGCATTCAGCAGAGGTCCGGAGCCAGACCCCCCCCCTCCCTTCCCTTCCGCCCAGTGTCGAAACGCCGAATAAGGAAACGCTAACGTGCTCGTCTGGGGGTATACTTGCATCTCTGCCTCGCCTCGTCCTTGGCACGTTTTGTCCAGATCCTGTCGTGAATATGGGCGCCCAATGGCGCTGAAGCTCTTCAAGCAGGATGCGGATGAAGAGGTATCGGGGAAGGCTTCCCGTCGCGCAGCAGCGCCCTCAGCAATGATTCTAACCAGCTGGGTTCCGCGCCTGGTCGCGGGCGCCGTTGTCGCTGCTGAGCTCCTTTGATCGCCCCCCTCAGACATCTCCTCTCGGGGAAACGTAAGACTCGAGTAAGCCGGAACTCGGGTTTGCCGGGTTTTTTTTGACGAGCGCGTCCCGGATTTCGACGGTCCCGTTCTCGTGGGATGTCTGCAGCGGGAGCCCGCGTCAAATTTCAGATTGGGTCTCGTCATTTTTATGATGGCCCCCGTCAGGCCAACCGGAGTCCCACGTATGTACCCGAGTCTTACGTCTCCCCGATCCTCCAGCGACCCAACACCATGCTCCTGAGCGTGCCCCCCTTGGTGCTTTGCCTCCGTCGCCATGCTGCACGGCTTTCCGCGCACACTCGCTGAGCGGTGGTTGTCCGCGCGGCGCCGACCTGCCGTGCGCGCCTCCTCCTCCTCCTCCTCCTCCTCCTCCTCCTCTTCTTCCTCTTCTTCCTCCTCCTCCTCAGGGCGGTGGAGAAGCAGGGCAGCGGCACCACCGGCGTCCACTCGTTCACCAGCTCGCTGCTCTCCGTGGAGTCGGTCGTGGACGAGGAGGACTCCTGCTGCGGCCCCGGCCCCCCCTTCTCCTGCCGAAGGCCGCTCGCTGCAAACATTTCTTCTCCCTCTCCTCCTCCTCCTCCTCCTCCTCCTCCTCCTCCTCCTCCTCCTCCTCATCATCATCATCATCATCATCATCATCCTAATTACTCCTCCTCCTCCTCCTCTGCTGCTGTGTTCCCATTCTTCCTTGGGGGGTCGTCGCGGTCCCCATTCACCATCCGGTTTACTTTCGCTCCTCCTTTTTTCTTTCTCCTCCGTTCCCAGCCCCTCCTCCTCTCCTCCTTTCTCCTTTTCCCCCTCCCTCCTCTTCGCCACTCACCCCATCGCTCCTGCCTGCTCCTCCCTCCGCCCCCCTTCGCCGTTCCTCTCTCCTCCCCCCCTCCTCATCCCATCTCATTCTCCTCCGTCCTCCCTTCCTCCTGTCGGCCGCGGCCTGCACACACTTGGGCGCCAAGCCTCGGGAGCAAAGGCTTGGCCCTCCTCGCGCTGGCCCCACGGGCCCTGCGGGCCGGAGGCGCACGCCGCGGGGCGGGCAGCGTCCGTTCTCGGAGGGAACATTGTTCCGCCAAGGCTCGGACTGCGGCTCCCCATGCTGCTCCTTTCTCCGTCTTCCCTTCCTCCCTTCGGGGGCGGAAAAGAGGGGGGTGATGACTAGGGGGGGGTGGATATCATGGCGGGGGGCATGATACTTCCCCAGATTTCATGGCGCCTCTTCTAATTTCAATACTGTCCCGGCCCCCCCGCTGGGCCGCGCACATGCCGCCGGCCATGATTTGCACCCCCCCCTCTTGGACACCTCCCTCTTGGCCGCTCCCGATCCCTTCTTTTCCTCCCACCTCCCCCAGACTCTCTCCCGTTGTCCTTCCCTCTCCCTCATCCCCACCACCTTCTGCATCGTACGTCCGATCCTTCTTCATGCCCTGCTTTATGACTAGCTCTTTCCGATCGCACCCCCAGACGTGTCAGTAGGACGGCCGGGCGTTTCGCGTGATGTTTCCCGATCCTGAAGCTTGAAACTTGCAACAGTGCCACGGATGGAGGGCTGGCCGTTTTCAAATTGTGATTTTCGCTTTAGCGCCGCGCGCATTCGTTCTAGATGTTCTGCAACAGCTTTTAGGATGGAGGGCGGTTGGTCTTCAAAATGTGGCTCTCGCCTCAGCGTCGCGGACATTCGTCATAGAAGTTTGCAGCAGTTTTTCGAATGGAGGGTACGGCGTTTTCAAAATGTGGTTCTCGCCGTAGCGCCATGGACATTCGCTTTCAAAGCTTACAACAGCTCCAATGAGTGATGATGGTTCCTTTTCAGCATGTGGCTGTCGCTTTAAAAGCGCGTGCGTTCGTCTTAACAGTTCTCAGTATTTTGAAGGAAGCGTAGGGTTGAAGTCCCAGGAATGGTGTTCTGGCGCGGTTGAGGATTGTCAAGACGCAGCAGTCACATGCATTCGCGGTGCTGAATTTCCAGATATGGCTTTCGGGCGCGGTCCAGGGATATCAGGTCGCAACTGTGATTGGATTCGCGGCGTTTAAGTCCTAGGAAGGACGTTTCGGCACGACTGAGGATTCTCCGACGCCTTGCTATCAATGGGGCAATTACCGCAATGACAGCAAATGTTTGACGCTTCGCGCAACACCACCAGCCCATCCAGAAACGATGCCCAAGCGAGTTGCCTCGGTCAGGCCTGTTGGGGAACTCGCAGTGGAATAGAGGGCTGGGTAAGACGTCATACCCCAAGATAGGAAGAGTGGAGAAGGAATCAGAGGAGCAGGAGGAGGAGGAGGAGGAGGGAGAAGGGAGGGGGAGGAGGGAGGAGGAAGAAGGAGGAATAGGCGGATGAGGAAGAGGAGGAGGAAGAGGGCGAGCAGAAAGACCAGACGCCACTTGGATGCCTCTCGGAGGCTCTTCGGATCTTCCAGGAGCTTCTTGGAGTCCCCCCCCAGAGGCCAAACTGTCGCCATCATCTGAGCATGTAACATCAATGGTTTTGGTTTTCTCGCCGAGGCCGTCTTGAACGCTTTAACCCCTCGCGAAAGGCCCCGTCCAAACCCAAGAGGAGAGGGTAGAGGAAGGGGTAAACCCCTCCCCGAATGGGAAGAAGAGGGTTGGAAGAGGAAACTCCCTGAACTACTCACGTCCAGAGGGATTGTGGGATTCTTCTAGGGACCTTTGAAGAAGGAATTTGCAGGGAGGGTTTAGTGCAACATGGTTGATGCGTCTTGGGTTTGCACTCGTCTCTTCATATCCTCTTCCTCATCCCTCTCCCTCCTTCCCCCCCGCCCATTCATCCATCATGCTTCCAGCTCGCTGCTCCTGCTTCCCCCTCCTTTCGCTCTCAACCCCCACCCCATCCTCCTCCTCTCCCCTCTTCGTCCTCCGACGGTTGCGAGGACGACGTCGCCGCCGCTGTCTTTTATTTTGACGACGCACAACGACGACGGCTGCTGCGAAGATGACGTCGGCGACGACGACGACGACGCACGACGTTGCACGACGACAGACGAGCGACGACGCGCGACGACGACGCCGGACGACAACGCGCGACGGCGGCGACGGCGACGACGCAAGACGCACGCGGCACGACGCCAGACTGCTCGCGCGAACGACGGCAGCGGCGACGTCCCCTCTCGCGCGAGGATTTCTACTGCGCGATCCTGCGGCGCTCCTGCGCCGACTTCTGAGCCCCCCCTCCCCCGCGCGCCCCCCCCCTGGCGGCGCGCCCTGTTCGGGCCGGACGAATGGGGGGGATTGGGAAAGGGGGGGGGTACGAAATTTGCTGCATGCAGCTGGTTTCGGCCCCACCGAGGGGCCCCTTCCTCGATGCATGGCCGCCTCCGGCGCCGGGAGGCGCCAGGAAAATCAGCTGCGTGAGCTGATTCTCAAACCCCCCCTTTGCTATCCCCCCCTTTCGCCCGACCCGACCGGTCCCGCCCTTCGGGGGCGGTGAAGAGGGGGGTGATGGCTAGGAGGGGGGGGGGGGGGGGATATCATGGCGGGGGCCGTGATACTTCCCCAGATCTCATGGCGCCTCTTCTTATTTCATGACGTCCCTGGCCCCCCCGCTGGGCCGCGCACATGCCGCCGGCCATGATTTGCACCCCCCCGTCTTGGACACCTCCCTCCTGGCCGCCCCCGAGCCCCGTCCCCTCCGAGACCGACGCGCGCGGCGTGGCGCGCCCGCCGCGCCTTCCGGCAGGCCGGGCGGCCGGGCCCCGGAGAAAGGAGGCGCCGGGGCCCCGAGGGGGCGGGCGCGGAGGTGCAGGCTCGCGTCGGGCACCTCCCTCCACAGGAGGAGCGTTCGGGAAGAGTCAGAAGATGATATGGGGGAGGATGTTTTCGACTATGGCTTAGCTGCTTTGGGGCACTTGCTTGCTATGTGAAGTTATCCCAGTGCGACCCGACCGAGGAGTTGGAGCCCCCAGGAAAGCAGCATTAGAAGCAGCAGCAAAGCTAAGCTAAAGCTAAGCTAAATCTAAGCTGAAGCTAAGCTAAAGCGAAGCTGAAGCTAAGCTAAAGCTAAAACTAAAGTTAAAGCTACAGCTAAGCTAAAGCTAAGCTAAAGCTAAGCTGAAGCTAAATCTACAGCTAAAACTAAAGCCAAAGCTACAGTTGAAGCTAATTATATGCTAAAGCTAAGCTAAACTAGGCTAGGCAAAGCTAAGCTAAGCTAAGCTACGACGAGATAAGCTAAGCTAAGCTAAGCTAAGCTAAGATGATATAAGCTAAGCTAAGCTAAGCTAAGCTAAGCTAAGCTTGGCTTAGCTAAGCTAAGCTAAGATGAGATAAGCTACGCTAAGCTAAGCTAAGCTAAGCTTAGCTTAGCTAGGTTAAGCTGGATGACCCCAGGGGGCGCAACTGGGGGAACCCCGGGGCGGGGACTGGGGGAACCGCCCGGGGCGGCCTACACTGCCCGGTCCCTTTAAGCAAAGAAAGTAAGAACCCTCTAGGCAGAGCCTAGGTAGGGAAACATGTCCTCCAAGATCCGCCTGTAGGAGAACATGCCCGACCTGAGTTTGGGCCTCCCAGATGGATTCGGAGTAGATGGATGGGGTCTGAGGATCGCGCCGCATAGCCGACACATCGGCTATGCGGCTTGATGCGGAGCCCGATGTTCTCCACGCCGACGTCGCCGATGCGTCACCCGTGTCGGCGATGCATCGCTGGTGCATCGTCGATGCATCGCCGATGCATCGCCGACGTATCGGCGATGAGGCGCAATCCCCCGACCCCATTTACTCTGACCCCATCTAGGAGGCCTCTAGGAGGGAGGAGGGCGTCATTGTCGTGTCGATCTGGAAGTGTGCTGCTCGTTTCCTAGGTGCTCGTTGCCGTGGCCACGGCTGGACGCGGCTCCAAAAATTTCACGGGATGGAGCCCAGGCGGGTCCGGTGGGCTAGTCTTGTGGGGATTTGCGGATCCTGGCTTGCGCGTGGGGGGGGGGCTTCTGAGAAGCCAGGGTGGTTTCTCAGATCCGCCCCCGCCTCGAGCGAGGCATTCTGTAGAGGTTTCTGAACCCTCCTGCGAAGCCCCCCATGCCTTCTTTGAGGGATAGACCAGTGAGAAGGAGGAGAAGGACGAGGGGTGACACAGGTCTAGCATCCGAGCCGAAGCCGAAAGCTAGCCGAAAGGGCTCGTGTAGCTCGGCTGCACATGGCCTCACTCCCGTGAAACGTATGGAGACGAGCAGCGGCCCCAGACAATCTCATGCTCGGCGCCATCGCAAGGGGGTGGCTGCCTATGCCCGCGGCTCCCGCCCTGCCAGGACCTCGTCTCGGAGCCAAGCTGTGTCCCGAGGAGGCGGAGCCTCGGCAGGGCCGAAGAAGAGAGCGCCAGCACGGCGCTTCGATGACAGTCCATGCGCCGCAGCAGCGACACAGGAGGAAGCGTCCAGCCGCCTGCACCAAATGTCCAGAATCCGCGGACGTGTCAGGCCGAGCACTGGGATCGGCCGAGTCCGACGCGAGCCCGAGCTCCGAGAGGGTGGCTAGAACTGGGGCGCACCGCGCCCTAGGGAGGGCGCCTCCGCGCCTCCAAGCCCTCACCGCAGAGAGGCAGAGGTGCAGCGGCGCGGGACAACAGCTTGCACCTGGCTGCTCGATCTTGGCCCTGGTGAGGTGTGTCTTGGCCGAGCAGTGGCACAATGTGCATCTCCCGAAGAAGAAAATACTGCATACACAGAAACTGTTGGCGCTCCGCGTGGATTTCTTAGATCCGCGCTGGGCCCCCCCGGTGGCGCCTCTGGCGCTGCCCTGGCGCGCGAGGGAGGGGGGTCCAGCTCAGATCCCAGAAATCCGCGCGGAGCGCTAAAAGTTTATGTGAATGGCGTTTTTTCTTCCCCCCTCCTCCTCCTCCTCCTCCTCCTCCTCCTCCTCCTCCACCTCCTCCTCCTCCACATCACGCGAAACCAGAGCGAGCTGGGGCACGTGATCCCCGCGGCCTCTGTTCCAAAGCTGGGCCCCGCCGGGGGCCTGCGCAGCTGCGTGAAGAGAGGCCCTGCTTGCACAGTCAAGCGTCCTGCACGCACATGTTTGCTGCTGTTGGAGTAAAGTGAGCCTGATCTCGTCAGAGCGTGAATTACCTACCCCGCTTTCGCTTCCAGGCAAAACCAAGTCATACCACGCGCCTCCTCATCAAGCGGCCTGACCAGTACAGGCCGTAGCTTGGCATCGTTTAGTATCTCTTGGAAGCGAGGGTGGTCAAAAGCGAGGTAGGTTTGTTTTCCCCCTAGTAAAGTGAGCCTGATCTCTGGCACAACATGGGATCCCGCTCCCAGACGCGCAAGGGAATCTCGAAGAAGAACAAAAAAAACGCCATGCACATCAACTGTTGGGGCTATACGCGCGGATGTCTCGGATCCGCGCTGGGCTCCCCTCCGTGGCGCGCTCCGCGCGCCGGGGGCGGCGACAGAGGCGCCGCCGGGGGGGCCCAGCGCGGAAGGAGGATGAGGAGGAGGAGGTGGAGGAGGAGGAGGAGGAGGAGGAGGTGGAGGAGTATAGGGGAGAAAAAACGCCGTACACATAAACTTTTGGCGCTCCGTGCGGATGTCTGGGATCTGAGCTGGACCCCCCTCCCTGGCGCGCTCCGCGCCCCAGGGGCAGCGCCAGAGGCGCCGCCGGGGGGGGCCCAGCGCGGAACCCCAAGAAATCCGCGCGGAGCGCCAACAGTTTACAGTCGAGGCGTTGACCTAAGGAACCCGAAACAAGGAACGAGGCCCCTATTATCCACAAGTTCAACTTCGATCTCCGATCGAAAACATAGGGAACAACCTGAGGCAAGCTGTGAAACACTTAAGGAACACGGAGCCCCTCCTCAACGAAAAGGGTTCCTTCTTCAGGGCACCGACTGTATGTTTATGCCGTTGTTTTTCCCTTCGGGTAAAGTGAGCATGAGATCTCTGGCACCGAATGGGACTCCGCTCCTAGACGCGCAGAGACATCGGGCCACGCATTCCCGAGGCAGTCGTGCACCGGCTGCCCGGCCTCACCCACAGGAGAAGCCTGGCCTTCTGAAATCCTCTGGGGGTCGCCGTGACCTGGGGTCCATCGGAAGCTCGGCCTCTCACGCCTCCCGGCGCACAAGCGAAGAGCTCCCCTCCAGGCGCGCCTGGCCGACCAAGCTGAAGGGGCCCTGGGGCACAAATAAACACACAAATAAAAGGATCCCCCCATGTTTTCCTATATTTTCTGGGTTTCTGCCCCCGTTGGCGCCATTGTTAACATCGTCGCGTCGCGGTTGGGAGCACCTCCTTGTTGGCCATGCTGATTGTTTGGCTTCGCCAGTTCTGGACGTAATTGCTTGATCCATGTGAACGCCTGCACTCTCCCTCCCCCTTTAGCAGCACCCAGCCCGTGCTGGACATGCTTGGACGGGGCGGAGTTGAGCTCACACAAGCCGCCAAACATAGTGCCCTTCGCCTGCTTACAGTGACTGCAGTAGTCTATGTCCGTTATGTTGACTCCTGGCTGGCAGGCGGCACCATGTGCTTGCCGTCGCTGAAACGAGGCACGGGATCTCTTAACAGTGAAATGTATACTTTAACAGTGGATTGGCACTACGCTATTGACACTACGTCACCCCCGGTGAATTAACACTACGCTGTTGACACTACGCTGTTGACACTACGTAACCCCGAGTGAATTCACATGACGCTGTTCACATTACATACGCTGTTGACACTACGTAACCCCGAGTGTATTAACACTACGCTGTTGAAACCACGTAACCCCGAGTACATTAACACTGAGTTGTTGACACTACGCTGTTGACACTACGCTGTTGACACGACGCTGTTGACACTGCCCTGTTGATACTACAGTGTCGACACTACGCTGTTGACGCTACGCTGTTGACACTTCGCTGTTGGTTGAGGCGACGCTGTTGGTTCACGCTACGCTGTTGGTTCACGCTGCGCTCTTGGTTGACGCTACGTTTAAGACACTATGCTGTTGACACTACGCTGTTGACACTACGATGCTGACACTATGCTGTTGACACTTCGCTGTCGACACTGCGCTGTCGACACTACGCTGTCGACGCTGCGCTGTCGACACTGCGCTGCTGGACACTACGTTGTCGACGCTAGGATGCACGCGGTCGACACTACGCTGTGGACACTACGCTGTTGACACTACGCTGTTCGAGTTCTCACGCCGTGTTGTCGGGCGTCTTATCCTGGGGCCGTTGTTGACGTTACGCTGTTGGTTGACACTATATTGTTCGTTTGCATTGCGTTGTTGACACTACTCTGTTGACACTGCGTTATTGACATTTCTTTGTTGAAATTTCGTTGTTGGCACTACGCTGTTGACACTGCGCTGTTGACACTACGCTGTTGACACTTCGCTGTCGACACCACGCTGTCGACACTACGCTGTTCGAGGTTGCTTGAAGTTGGCGAAGTCACGCCGGGTTGCGTAGGTTGTCGCGGTGTTCTTCGGCGACTGCGTTTCGTCGACATTTCGCTATTGACACTGCGCTGTTGACACTATGTTGGTGACACTACGCTGTTGACACTACGCTGTTGACACTACGTTAATGGTTGACGCTATGCTGTTGGTTGACAATACGCTGTTGGTTCACACTGCGCTGTTGGTTGACACTACGCTGTTGGTTGATCTTGATTGACACTACGCTGTTGACACTACGCTGTTGACACGACGCTGTTGACACGACGCTGTTGACACTACGCTTTTTGCACTACGCTGCTGACACTACGCTGTTGACCCTGCGCTGTTGACCCTGCGCTGTTGACACTGCGCTGTTGACACTGCGCTGTTAAGACTACGTTATTGACACTACGCTGTTGACTCTACGCTGTTGGCACTACGCTATTCACACTACGATGTTGACACTACGCTGTTGACACTACGCTGTTGACACTACTCTGTTGACGCTACGCTGTTGACACTACGCTGTTGACATACGCTGTTGACACTACGCTTTTTTGCACTACGCTGTTGACCCTGCGCTGTTGACACTACGCTGTTGACACTACGATGTCGACACTACGCTGTTGACACTACGCTGTTGACACTACTCTGTTGACGCTACGCTGTTGACACTACGCTGTTGACATACGCTGTTGACACGACGCTGTTGACACTGCGTTGTTGAGCCTGCGCTGCTGACACTACGCTGTTGACCCTGCGCTGTTGACCCTGCGCTGTTCACACTACGCTGTTGACACTGTTGACACTGCGCTGTTAACACTGCGCTGTTGACACTACGCTGTTGATTCAATTCACTGTTAAGACGCACTCTCGAAACGAGGTTCGTCCAGGACTGACCCTGGATGTAATGACAGTAAAGCAGAACATTGATGTAAAGTGCCGAGTCCATGAACTCCCCACGCCACAATGCTCCTGTCCCGAGCCTCCCACTACGGACTTGCGTCCACATGGCTACGGACAGAAAGGAGAAGAAAAGGGAAGAGGAGTAGGCGAATGAACTGTATGTTGCTGTTTGCGTCCTTAGCGGAGGGATTCGGCATGAGTGGGGTGGATGGGGTTGCAGCAGCCGTGATGTGCTAACCCATGCGTGAGTTGTGTCTTGAGCTGCCGTTGTTCTGCATATGTCTCCAGGAGGTGGTCAGTGATGGCCTTGGCAGTTGCAAGTCGGGTCATCGCTGCTGACCTTGTTTGCCGCGCCTTGACTGTCTGCTTATATTGGCATGTATCGGGCATCGTTGCCACGACGTTGTCCCTCTCTCTCTCTCTGTCTCTCTGTCTGCCTGACTGTGTCTGTCTGTCTGTCTGTCTGTCTGTCTGTCTGTCTGTCTGTTTGTCTGTCGGCCTGTCTGTCTGTCTGTCTATCTCTCTCTCTCTCTCTCGTGCTCTCACTCTATCCCCCTCCCTCCCTTTCGCGTTGTGCCTTTGTGCCTTATCATTCACTATCTATCTCTCTCTCTCTCCCTCTCTCTCTCTCTCTCTCTCTCTCCTCTCTCTCTCTTTCTCTGCCGTTGTTCAACGAGCTCCCGCCTCTCCACATTATGCATTGGTGGCCAGACCCATGCGCCACGCAGCTCAGCATCACATTGTTCGCGATGTGTGCGTCGCGTACCTGCTGTCACCACTGCCAGTCGGCCCCAGGAGCAAGCGCGCGGCGACAGCAAGTATAAGATGCGGGACAGGTGAACGCCACCTTGAGCACTGTTGCGGTAATTACTTGCACCGTGGGTAGCTGAATCATCCCCGACGTCCAAAGACGTGAACAACTGCGGCATGGCGAACGAATCGCGACCAGCGATACCTTTGCCAGATCGGTCCATGAGGGTCCCGAGCCCGAGACACCAAAACGTCGCCACGTTTCTTTCGCGACAGCTGGATCTCAGGGGAAGGTATTGAGCCGATCTTCCCTCCCACATCCCCGACGATTCTGTTCTACTCTGGAGCTGGATGAAGAACAACAGGAGCAAGAGGGCGAGGAGGAAAAAAAGGAGCAGGAGCAGCAGGAGCAGCAGGAGGAAGAGGAGTTCCTCCTCCTCCTGGAAAATTCTTCCTCTGCTCAGGATCCTGACCCCGAGAAGCCCCTGGAGGCCTCAGCAGTCTTCGGCAGGCCCAGGGAAGGCCAACTTCCAAAACGTGCTAGGGACGCCGCAAAAACAAGGTCATCGAGGGCAAAAGCCAGCTCCTCCTCAATCACTGCAGATTCGACGCGGCGCATGTGGGGCTCAGCATTCACTGCGCGATGGCGACGACGTCCTCCTCCTCCTCCTCCTCCTCCTCCTCCTACTCCTCCTCCTCCTCCTACTCCTCCTCCTCCTCTAGTATCTCCTCCCTTCCTCCCTCCTCCTTTTACCCTCCCACCAGCTCACTCCTTCTTCTTCTTCTTCTTCTTCTTATTCTTCTTCTTCTTCTTCTCCTCCTCCTCCTCCTCCTCCTCCTCCTTCTCCTCTTTCCTCCTCCTCCTCCCCCTCCTGCTCCCCCTCCTCCTCCTCCTCCTTCTCCTCCTGGACCCCGCCTTGCCCTCGGCGGAGTACATTGGCATCGGGAGTCCGCCGGCAGATGGTGGGCGGAAGCAAAAGCGAGACGTCAGCATTTGTTTGGACTCGGGGATTCTGTGCAGTCGGCCACACGTTGCCTCATCCTCATCGTTCTCCTCATCCTCCTCATCGTCTTCGCCTCGTTCCACCCACCCCCCTCGCGTGCAACTCCTACCTTGCCCTCCGCCTCCCCCCTTCCCCCCCTCCCCCTCTGGCAGGTTCTCTGTGTGGGTGTGTGTCCGAAGGGGCGTGAGCCCGGCAGCTTCCAACAACGGCGTGAGCTTTCAGGTCGAATCTACCGTGGCCCCAGGCCTGAGGCTGTATTATCTAAGCCAGCGCTGTTTTGCGACACTGTCATCAACCTCACCAACACGTTCATCCCCCCTCCCTCTCCAGCCCTCGAGGATGGAGGAGGGACGAGGAGGGAGGGAGGGAGGGAGGGAGGGAGGGAGGGAGGGAGGAGGGAACACGACATGGGTTTCCAGCCCCCCTCTCTCCTCCGCACCCTGCGCCCCTCTGCTCTCCTCCGCACCTATCATCATTCCCCTGCCGTCGACGTCGCCGTTTCGGAGGTTTTTCGGCGCTGCCACACATCGCCAGAGCAGTGTTCATGCCAGCGCGGCAGGACCGCGAGGTTCCAGTGGGGGTCCTCAGGGCGTCGTAGCAGGCAGATTGTTGTTATAAGTTGGCACGGGGTCACCAGAAGTGGCCCAGGCTTCTCACGAGTTGACGATCTGACTTTCTGCCTCCAGAGCTCGATTCGATCCGATTCTCGCCGGCGTTGTCGTTTCGGATGTTTGGGGGCGTCTCTGGGGGTTCGCGCCGCTACAGCTGCACGCAGTTCGAAAACACATGGCCAGCCTGAAGCCCGTGGAGGGGCCCGGGGACAGACCTCCAGCGGATTGACCGCTCGGGGTCCGAGACCTCCAACGCCCCGAGCAGAAGTCAAGACAGCCGGTCTTCCACCACCATGTCGCCGTCCGAGGGCCGCGCCTCTTGGGCCCACTGGGCGGTCAAGCCAACGGCGTTGGACGAAAGGCTGGCCCCCCTGGGAAGCGGGAGGGGGGGTCGAGAGCTCCAGGGGGGCCCCGCGCGACAGTCGGAAGTCTGGGGCCACCTCCCCCCCCCAGACCTCAGAACACAGCAGTCTGGTCGTCCAGCTCTGCCAGGCCTCCACAGATGGGGCCCGAGCTTCTCCACGCCGACGTCGCCGCTGCGCCGCCGACGCATCGCCGATGCATCGGCGATGCATCGCCGGTGCCTCGGCGATGCGGCGCGATCCTCTGACCCCATCTCGCTCGGGCCCCATCGGGGAGGCCTCGAGGAGCTCTTGCTTTGGGTTTCTGTGCGGGCGCTCCTCGTGAGCTGGGGCGCTGTGGTTATGTCGGGCCTGTCCCCCTACAAGGGGATTTTCGACAAAAAACAAAACATACCCCCAAAATACCCCAAACAGGTCAAGAAATAGTAGAAAAACAGTCCCCAGACTATTTTTGGACTATTTTTTGTTTGTTTGTGGGGTACTTTTTATTTTTCGTCGAAAGTCCCCCTGTAGGGGGACAGGCCAGACTTAACGCTATGGGGGGCTGCTGGCGCCACGGCGGCGATCACGAACACGAGGCACTGATAGACCATACGCAATTCCGGGCGGGCTCTGTGACACAGTTTCCAGCTCGGGTTTGCACACAAAGATGTCTGCACGTACCCTTTGGCTTGGCGAGCACCGGATGGGAGTACAGGGGTGAACTGTCTGGTCAAGCATGCTATGATGGCGGAGAGCAGCGGCAGCACATTGATTCCGCCAGTCGTGACACATATATGTACCAGTCGACCGCGCTGCAGCTTATTCAGACTATTGCTTCGTTGCAGGGCTTGGTGGAGCGTATGGCGTGCAATTGCTGGCACGCGCAGGTCAAGAACATGTAGTGGCGGCCTCTTTACGCAAATTGTCTGGGTAAGCACGTCGGCATTCGAGGTTGGGAAAAGTATTCGAAGCAGCTGTAGCTATGCTCTGTCGTGAAAACCCGAGTAAGGGCTTTACCTTTAAAAGAAGCTTTCTGACGGTACGATTGTGATTGCACCCATCGGGGAGACTGGACGTCTCCGGCAGGTTGTCTTACAATTCGTTGCCATTCTGGGCCTCCAGGAGCCTCCGAGGACCCCTGTGGCCAGAATCCGGAGCAGAATCGGAAGAAAATTGCCGAGGAGGGGGAGTTGGAGGAGGAGGAGTACGGTGGAGGCCAGTCCACATGAAACCTTCCACAAGAGACCTAACCCTGAGAGACCCCAGGACGTTCATTGATTCTTGGTGTGGGAACATCACGCATTCCATAGCAAAACCATCGAATCCCAGGGTACCCTGGAGGCAAGCAGGGTGTTTCTTGGCATAGGTCTCCACTGTAACCGCCTCGATGCTTCAGGGTCGAGGGCAGCCCGATCCTTCCCCTCATCCTCTTTGCATGCTTCCTTTCACCTGACCCCCTTCCCCTCTCCCTCCTGCTTCCAATCCTCCTCCCCCACCCCCTCACCCTCGTCCTCTTCTGTCGCCTCCTCCTCCTCCTCCTTTTCCTCCTCCTCCTCCTCCTCCTCCTCCTCCTCTGTCGCCTCCTCCTCCTCCTCCTCCTCCTCCTCCTCCCGTGCCCACCCGTTCTCCCCGAGAAGATGAAAACGAGGGGGGGGGCAGGGGGAGGAGGATGAGCGGGAGGTGGAGGAAGGGTGGAGGAGGTGGAGGAGGGAGGAGGAGGGGGGAGAACGGAGAAGGATGTGGAGGAGAAGCAAGAGGATAAAATGGAGGCAGAGGAGAGCAGGAGGAGGGGGAGCAGAGGGGGGGGGAGGAGGAGGAGGAGGAGGAGGAGGAGGAGGAGGAGGAGGAGGAAGAAGAGGAGGAGGAGGCCAGAGGCTTTCTTGGGACAGCCTGGGGCTCTCTTGAGGCCGTCTTGAGCCGTCCAGGGCTCCTCTTGCGCCGTCTCGAGGCATTCTTGGAGGCCTCCTGGGCAATTTGTTTGGGCCTCTTCGGGCTTCTTCGGAGCCTCTTGGGGGCCTCTTGGGGCTGAGAGCTCGAAATGTCCGTTCGGGTCCCCTGTCTGGGCACTCTCCTGGAGCCGTCTTGGGGGCCTCTTGGGCCGTCTTGGAGGCGTCTTGGGCCGTCTTGGGGCCCTCTTCGGCCGTTAGGGACCCTCTTGGAGGCCTCTTGGGCCGTCTCGGAGCGATCTTGGGGGCCTCTTGGGCCGTCTTGGCGCGTCGGGAAGCGGAAGAGGCAAGAACGCCAAAATCTTTCAAAAACGTATGGGAAATCAATGAATTGTGCCTCTTGGGACTCGTGGGAAAGCTCATGGAGGCCTCTTGGGACGCTTTGCAGGCCTCTTAGGCCGTTTGGAGGCCGTGTAGGCGTCTTGGACAGATCGTTCGGCGATTCAGAGTTCTCTTGGACTGTCTTTGGGGCCTCTTGGGGCACTCTTGGCCCGTCTTGGGACCTGTTTGGGCTCCGGGACTCCCCAGGGGGGCGTCGTATCTGACCGCCCCTCCCGCGGCACCCCCACCCCCCGGGACCCCCCCCCGGGACCCCCCCCGGGGACCCCCCCCCCCGGCGGGGGAGGGATCGAAGGGAAGGGGCTTCCCTTCGACTCAATTACGACGTTGCTCAACTTCGCTTTGGCTGGCGCGCTGAGGAGGTCCCTGGGAAAGGGGGGAGCTTCGACGAGCCCAGGGAAATGGGGAGGCAGGGAAGGGGGACGACAGAGACGACGACCAACGAATGACGGAGATGACGACTTGAACGGACAAGCCCCTCACACACGCTGACAGGGTCGGCGGATTTCTGACGGGGCCAGGACGAGGATAAATATGTTCCAGAGCGTTCCGGAACAGAGCGTTCCGGAGCGATCTGATAAGGCCGCTGCGCCCGAGACATCCTGCAGAGCCGCCAGATCTCAGAGATTCGATTTATTCTCACCCGAGTGTATCTTCATCTCGGTTTCGTCTTATTATTCCTCTTCCCTCCCCATCCCCCCTGCTCCTCGCCTTCCTACCAATCCATCTGCTCCTTCTACTCCTCCTCCTCCTCATCCTCCTCCTCTTCCTTCTCCTTCTCCTCCTCCTCCTGATGGCCCGCTCCTCCTCCTCCTCCTCCTCCTCATCCTCCTCATCCGCCTCCTCTTCCCCATTCCCCTTCCACAGTACGTACCTCTCCTCTGACCTCCTCCTCATCCTCCTCCTCTTCCTCCTTCTCTTCCCCATTCCCCTTTCACAATACGTACCCCTCCTCTGCCCTCCTGCTCCTCCTCCCGCTCCTCTTCCCTCTCCCCCTTCCACAATATGTACCCTCCTCTGCCTTCCTGTCCTCCTCTCCGATGCCAGTCGTGATCCTAATGCTCCCCCCCCTCCCTGCTTCCTCTCGTCCTCCCCTCTCCTCATTGCTTACCTGCCGTCCGCGCTGGAAGAGGAGCCACATTGGATCAGTTATTGCATCGAATGGGACCAAGAACATCTGACATGTATTGACCGGTTCAACTAAGCGGAACAAATGTTAGCGCCAGAAGGAGCCGACGGCGTACGTTGCTCGACGCTGGAAAAGGTTGCACATGTTCTCGCTACGTTTTGCAGCATCTTGCACGCAAGGGAACTTGAAACGCCCAGGTCGAGCGGCAGTGGTGCCAAGGATGACGCTGCGCCAATCACCGTGCACCAGATAGTGGCCGTTGACAAAACACACGCTGCTGACGGAGTGGTTATTAGCAGAGATGCTGCCAACCGGTCGCCAGAAGTTATTGGAATTACTGGTTGATTAGTTTAGGAGAATCAGTCGGATGGGAGACGTCTTGCCGAAAGGGTGGCTCACCAGTAACATCATAGCCCTGTATAGGGCGACGTGTCGCTGCCTTCCAATAGCAGGCCCTTCAGCACTGGACAGGAGATGTATGCGGATGTTGTTCAACAGTGCTGGTAGGCAGAAACAAAATACCTTCGGAGCCGAAGCTTCAACCAGTATAGGCTGGGTTCCGTTCCAGCCATAGTTTTGTTCGAACGTTGTTAATGGCGGGTATGTGCGGGAGAAGGGGGGTGAATTGCCGATGGTGTCGTCAGAGTTGGAAAGGGCATTCGGCAAAGTGGGGCACTCCGCTGTGTTCGGGGCGTAGTAGCCAGGGGCGGATTTGGCTACGTTTCGCACGCTCTGGCGGATGTATGGTGCTCTTAGAACACATGTTCAACCAGATGGATCCACAACGAGTTCACAAGTTAATGATCCACGTGTAATGCGGCAGGGAGCTCTGAATCCTCCCCAGTGGCTTCAAAGTGTCGCAGCGATCGTTTCCCAGAGGATGCGTGAAGTTCTGGGTGTAGAAGAGATGTTGCTACCGGCTCGCAGGACGACGGAAACCGTATACTGAGGCAGGTCATGTTTGCAGATGGTACGGCCCTGGTGGCGCGATCGGCCGACGCGTTGCGACAGATGATCGACGATGTGATGAAAGAATTGGCAGGGTGAGGGTTGTCGTTGAACTTTGGCAAGTGTCTCACACAGCACCCTTGGTGTCTGTCCAAGGACATATTGATGCGCACGGTCAGCAGTCTTTCATCGCATCAGCTTCAAGACCCTCAACACGCACTTCTTTCTATTTGGCCACACAAGCAAAGACATCTTGTCGTGAATGAAATATGGGTGAGCTGAGTTCCATCAGTTGTGGCGGCTTCTGAACCCAGGGTGCTTTCTGTTGCACATTGCGCACTCGGCTGTTCGATGCCTTCCTGCATGTCGAACTGTGCGCTCCGGTATTGCGAATTGCGGTTGCCGGCTGAGGTGGATAAACGACGGCCGCACTCGGTTCCGAACGATACGCTGCGAACAATCGTCGTCATCAGGCGCCAGCCTCTGGAATTTTCGGTACCTGGGATCATTCGCGCTCAACGCGCTGCGCATGATGCTTCTGGCAAATCCGGAAGACGGTCATGATTGGACACGTTCCGAGGTAAAGGGGCGCTGAGCGGAATCTGTTGCAAGAGCGATTGCGAGCAAGTGGTGTTGATGTGCAGCAGGGTGGCGCGATGCGGACTGGGTGCGCCGTGCGAGAAATGGCGTGGGGAAGGTCACGGAGACAAGGAGGCCACCCTGGCTCCGTTGGGAATGCGTGTTCAGATTTCATATTGTTTTCCTGGAAAGGCGCAGCTTAAAACAGAAGCGGCTGGAAGCGACGAGCACCGCCACTTTCCACCATGCACTGTGACGGCGTCGCACACCGTCAGGTACCCTGACGAGACTAAGAATGCGGCGTCGCAGTGTGGTTTAAGAAGATTGTTTCAGAAGGCAGAAAGTGATCGTTTTCTTATTCATTGTTTTGCCGGTCGGCGCGGGCCCTCGTACCCCCTCCCCCGCCAATGGAGAAGATCTTTGGCCGTTTCTGACGTCTTTTTCAAGCAGGTGGTGTGTCCCCCATATATACATATATATATATATATATGTATATATATATATATAGGACGCACTGCTGCAAACAGTCGCACTGAGCAGAGGTCCGGAGCCAGGCCCCCCTCCTTCCGCCCACTGCCGAAACGCCGAACAAGAAAGCGCTCACCAGGCAGTGCGGGGGGACGACACCGGGGGGGTGCTCTCCTCCGCGGCCACGGCGCGCTCTTCCCCCCAGCCCCGTGTGGGCCGCGCCGCGGTGACGGTGGCTTCCGTACTTCGTACTGCCTCGCCCCGCCGGCTCTCCTCCTCGTGCGGTCGAGCGGAGGCACCCGGGATCGCCCCTTCCTGCTCCTCTTCGTCCTCCTCCTCGTCCTCCTTCTCCTCCCTCTTCCTCACCATCATCCCTCCGTCTGGGGTCAGGGGGCTCCCCGACTGCATTGGGGCTTCGCCATCCTCCACCATCTCTGCCGCCGCCTCCTTTTCGGGCACCGTCGACGTTTTCCCTCCCTCCCTCCACTCATTGAGTTACGACCAGAACTGGTTGTTGTTTTTTTTCCAGGGCACTAGCTGGCCCTGACCCTGTGAGGGTGGAGCCCTTTTCACGGCCGACGCTCTCATGCTCACTTCGCTTGAGGCTGGGAACGGGGACAGTTTCCCGAGCCCGCGAGGTGCTTTGCACGACAGGGGGGTGGGGGGATGAGAGAACGGAGCAGGAGGATGAGGAGGAGGAGGAGGAGGAGGAGGAGGAGGAGGATGAGGAGGAGGAGGAGGAGGAGAGGAAGGGGGAAGAGGGAGGATGAGGAAGACCAGCAGCAGGATGAGCATGTGGAAGGATGAGGAGGGAGGAGGGCAGAGAGGATAGGGACACGAGCGAGGCGGAAGAGCGGAAGCGGGACGATGCGGATGCGGAGCCGGATCCGCTGAGGGCATCGGCGCGGCAAGCTCACAAACGGAGCCACTGCCAAGACTGACCTCTTGGCCCGCATGCTCAACACTTCCGGCCCTGGGGCCCGACGCGGGGGGGGGCAAAGGAGGCCGTGATTGGGGTTTCTGCACGGCGCCCCCGGTGTCACGTGAGGGAGGGCAGGGAGGGGAGGTGGGGGCGCGTCATCGGCCGATGGCTCGAGCTATTTTTCTGAGGGAGAGTCCATGAGGAGGAGGAGGAGGACGAGGAAGAGGAGGACGAGGAGGAGGACGACCAGTGCAAACCCAAGAGTCATCAACGATGTTGGAATAGACCCTCCCTCCAAGCTCCCTCTTCATGGGCCCCTGCAACGGTTCATTTCCATTGAGGAAGCTGCATCTTTGGAAGATAACCGCTTGAAGACCCTGAAGCATGCCAACACATTTTTGGGGGGATTCGAGCGCCACGGATCAACCTGACTGTTGCGTCTTGACAATCCTGAAGCGTGCCAGACCGCAATATCTGGGACTTCAACACAGTGAAGCAACAAACCTGTTGCACCCGCATTATCCTGAATCCTTTCAAGATAGAATTTCTGGTGCGCTGATGATGGGAACCCGTGAAACTCTTGCAACTTTTGTAACCGAATGTGCGCGGCGCTAAGGCGAGAACCACATTTTGAAAAGGAACCGCCCTCAACCCGTGAAGCTCTTACAAAACGAATGTGCGCCGCGTTGAAGCGAGAGCCACATTTTGAAAACCACCCGCCCTCAATGCGTTAAACTCTTACAACTGTTAGAAAATGTGCGTGGCGATAAGGCGAGAGTCATACTTTGAAAACCACCCGCCCTCAACCCGTGAAGCTCTTACAATTAGCTAAAACGAGTGTGCGCCGCGCTAAGGCGAGAGCTACATTTTGAAAGCCACCCGCTCTCAATCCGCGAAACTCTTGCAATGTTTCAAGACGAGTGTGCGCCGCGCTAAGGCGAGAGCCACATTTTGAAAACGATCCGCCCTCCATCTGTTAGTGGACAGTTTCAATGGACCAGTTCTATGACCAGTTCTATCCAGTTGTACCAGTTGCGCGCAAGCAGAGGCCTGCGGCGGGGGGGGGTAAGTGCTTTGTAATTGTCACGCCCATGTTACCTGCACGCCCACATGTACACCCACATCAACGAAACACGAACCTCTTTCTACCCAGACGTGTTTCAAAAACCGGCTCATCATCATCATCATCAGCATCATCAGCATCAACGGCTTCCGAACACGAACACCATCGCCAACATGGTCATCACCAGCATCAACACCAACAACGCCATCGCCACCACCGTTGTCAGTTTAGGGAGCTTGTCTTGTGAACTCACGTCATCCTGACCCCTGGCGCCCCTTCCCACTCCTGCCAGATACCCCTCACTCCACTCCACCTCATTCGACTCTACTCCACTCCTCCGCCCTCCTCCACAGACCGACGCCACGATCCCGAAGCTCCTGCGCTCTTCAGACCTCCGCCCCACTCTTCCCCTCCTCGGAGCCTCACGTGAAACGCACTCAGTTTAAGTAGCGCTCAAGTATCACAACTATATGAACTGGTCTTTGAAACACGGTGGGTGGATAAAAAGTGTCCACACCCATCGCGCTAATATGATACGACATCGAACTGCGTCGAGCAAATTTCCATCGCCTCCGCCCCCCCCCCAACCCAGAGATGCCGGGGTTGGGTGCGATGCAACGCGCGGGGGACGAAATATGGACACTTCAACTTTGGGTTTGGGGGTGAGGGGGGCGAGCCACAGGTATATTGCAAGTGTCGTTGCCATCATGCCTGATTGTCTTCACGCCGTCGGTGTGGACACTTTTTGTCTGGGCACCGAAGTCTCAGGCGAAACGCCGGGCCCGCCCTAAGAATTGACCTCGGGGAGCGACAGGGAGAAATTAATGTCAAGGAAATGTAATGGATGAGGAGGAGGAGGAGGGCAAGGAGGAGGAGGAGGAGGAGCAGGAGCAGGAGGAGGATTAGAAGGATGAGGAGGAGGAGGAGGAGGAGGATTAGGAGGAGGAGGAGGAGGAGGAGGAGGATTAGGAGGAGGAGGAGGAGGAGGGAGGAGGAGGAGGAGGAGGAGGGGAGGAGGGAGGAGGAGGAGGAGGAGGAGGAGGAGGGGAGCAGCACTAGGGCGAGGTGGAGGAGGAGGTGGTCTCGGTCTTGGGCGGTTCCCCTCGGGCTCCTGGAGTTCCCACGGGCAGGGCAGGGCGACGGAGCGAGCACGGCACACGCCACCGACGCTGCAGCACGCCCTCCCGTCCCTGGAAGGCTTCTCCGCAGGGCCTAGGCGGCCCCTCCTCCTCCTCCTCCTCCTCCTCCTCTTCCTCCTCCTCCCCCTCCTCCTCCTCCCTCCTCCTCCCCTCCTCCTCCTCCTCCTCCTCCTCCTCCCTCCCCTCCCCCTCCTCCTCTCCTCCTCCTCCTCCTCCTCCTCCTCCTCCTCCTCCTCCTCCTCTTCCTCTTCCTATTCCTCTTCTCCTCCTCCTCCTCCTCCTCCTCCTCCTCCTCCTCCTCCTCCTCCCCCTTTCCATCCTCCTCCTCCTCCTCCTTTCCCTCCTCGCCCTCCTCCTCGCGGATGGCCCTGGGGGAAACTGTGTGCCCGTCGCGAGACCCTCCTCCGGGACTGGGCGTGCAAGTGCTGGCAAGTGTTCCTGGCTCCAGGGCGGCCGGGGAAGCCGTGGCCCCGTGGCCACGAGGCAGGAAGGGACAGGGTCGCAACGGTGAGGACCGCATACAGGGCGCACGACGCGAGTCAGCGATCTCATTCCCCAATGCGCCCATGTTGGCCTGAGATGCGCCCGTGTTGCCCTGAGATGGCCTCAGAATTGCCCAGGAAGCCCACAAGACGACCTCCAAGAGGCCTCCAGGAGGACCTCCAGGGAGCCCTGACGAGGCCAAAATAATGGATTTCCCGTCGGTGTTTGAAGGATTCTGGCGTTTGCTTATTCCCTTGTCAGTGCTTGCACTGAAGGGGTCCTAGCGGAAATTGAAAGATTTGGCGAAAGTTTCCCGTCGATTTTGGTGGCCGGCTGGGTTCCTGGGATGCCGGTTCCGGGTTCCCGGGTTCCTGGTTATTGGTTCCAGGCCGATTTTGGTGGGTTCCGGGTTCCCGGGTTCCCAGGTTCCCGGTCGATCCCCTTATCGATCGCTTTATCGATCCCATTTCAAACCATCCACTGATTGTTTTTTTCTCTGGTGTAAGCAAGATTCGGCCACATCAAAGCGCAATGCTCGCTAGGGGAGCACGACCCCCACGGCCGACGCATGCAGATGTGCGAGTATGGATCGATTTTGAGCGTGGGCGCTTGAGGGTAAGCGCGATTTTGACAACATCCGGATTCTGGCCGTTGAGCTGCTGTTCGCAGCGTCAGTATCACGGTGATGAGGACTTCTCAGGCGAGAGCGCGACTTTCAAGACGAGTATTTCTCTATATTTGCACCTTGCGTTGGGACTATTTGTTCGATAAGAAGTCTCAAGCGAGATCGTGGTTTTGCAAATGGCGATCCATCCTCATAGTTGTTGGAATGCCACCAGCTCACTTTGCATGATCTAGGCCCGCTTCACGTCGCAGGTGCGGACGCGATTCGGAAAGACACCTGCCTCCGGTCGGTGTAGCCAGTGAGATACACAGGATTTCGGACATGATTGGGGAAAGCACAGCCAAGAACACTTCAAGCAGCGGCGAAGCGTCCTGGCTCGCCGATAGCCCCACCAAACAATGTTCTAAGAACCTTTTGTGGCCTGCACGAGACGTTCTTAGAACATTTCTGGCCGGGACTGTCTTGTTTTAACATATCGGGCTGATGCTCTAAGACAATTGTTCTTGCTCTAAGAACATTTTGGGGTTCTAAAAACATTTCGTGGTATGACTAGGAATGCCGGGACGGTCGGTCCCTGCTCAAACACGATTTTTTATCACTCACCGCACATGCTCAGCGTTGGCATGGGCATTTCCACTATCGGGCATCATGAGCTGCAGAGACGTCTCGGGCGGAACGCCTGGGGCCCCAATAGTGCTGCGGCCGCGAGCGTCCATTCGGAAGGAGGAGGGAATCATAGGGAGAAGGGGGGTATGGATGGGAGCCGAGGGGGAAGGGGGGGCAGGGAGGAGGCAGAAAAGGGAGGGGCGGCCCCAGGTGCGGGGGGGGGGGGAGCCGCCCTGAGGGGCTCAGGGGGCGCCCCAGGAGGGCTCGGGGGCCGCTCGGGCCCCCGAGGCTCTGGCAGCGGGGAAGCGGCGGAGGAGGGCCGATGTGAGCTGACGGAGGAGGGAGGGAGGGAGGAGAAGAAGGAGGAGGAGGAGGAGGAGGGCGGAGGAGGAGGAGGAGGAGGAGGAGGAGGAGGAGGAGGAGGAGGAGAAAGAGGAAGAAGAAGGAGGGGAGGAGGGGAATCTCTTGGATCGCAAAAGAAAGGTCTCCATAAACGTAAGTTGTCGGGGGTTCGCGCTGATTTTTGGATCCGCGCGAAGCCGTGCGCGCCAGGAGGGCCCAGCGCCGATCCAAGAAATCCGCGCGAGCCTCCGAAAGCATGTGCTTGTGAAGATGGCGCTTCTTCTCCGCGATGGCGAGCTCCGGAATAGTGGGGCAAAGACCCCACCTTTCGTTGCCCGGCGCAGGCCCTTTTGGTTGTGGAGGGTTTCTCCGAAGGGCTTAGGCGACCCGTCCTCCTCCTCCTCCTCCTCCTCCTCCTCCTTCTCCTCCTCCTCCCCTCCTCCCTCCCTCTCCTCCTCCTCCTCCTCCTCCTCTCCTCCTCCTCTCCTCCTCCTCCTTCTCCTCCTCTCCTCCTCCTCCTCCTCCTCCTCTCTCCTCCTCCTCCCCTTCCTCTCCTCCTCCTCCTCCTCCTCCTCTCCTCCTCCTCCTCCTCCTCCTCCTCCTCCTCCTCCTCCTCCTCCTCCTCCTCCTCCCTCCTCCTCCTCCTCCTCCTCCTCCTCCTCCTCCCTCCTCCTCCTCCTCCTCCTCCTTCTCCTCTCCTCCTCCTCCTCCTCCTCCTCCTCCTCCTCCTCCTCCTCCTCCTGCGCGCGCAGTAGGCGCTCATGAGATCCCCACGAGCGCCCGATCGCCTCCGCGGGGGGCCTGGCCTCCACCTGAGGAGACCAGACCCCCCGACCGCGAAGACGAAGCAGTCCTCGCCGCCCGCTCAGGCGGGCAACGCGGAGTGGAGCGCCGCGAAGCACTCCACGTGCGGGGAGGGGGGGAAGGGGCAGGCGGCGGCCCCCCTGCACGGGGCGCCGCACTATCGCCGACCCTTCCGCTGCCTCCCCCCCCCGCTCCGGTGCCGGGCGCGTCCACCGCCTTGGCGAGCCAGGCTCGGAGGCGCGGCAGCGGCCACGCGGCGAAGTGCGGCTGGAAGTCGGCCACGCGAGCGCCAGGCGTGCGGACCCACGCTGAGATCAGCGCGGCTCGCACCTCAGGCCCGTCGTCGTCCTCCACGGCCTCCGCGCCAGCGGTAGCAGCAGCAGCATCTGCAGCGGGCGCCTCCACCGCGGGCAGCACGGCGCCCCCCCCCTCGCCGCCGAGCGGTGCTCCAGGCGACTCACGAGTAGGGGGCGCCACGCCCAGCACCACAGCGGCGGCGCCAGGGGCCGCGGCGGGCGCGCCTGCCAAGGGCGCAGGGCGGACGGCCCCGTCCGCCCAGCTGTCGTCCTCGAGGCTGTCGCCGTCGCCGCCCTCTGCACCGCCCGCCTCCTCGGCGGCGTTGGAGGTCACCATGGGCACGTCTTGCGCTCCGCGAGCTCGTCGACGCCGAGCACAACGGCGCTTCCGCCGTGGCCGATGGCCATCAGGCGGGGCGCCAGCCGCGGGAGCGCGAGGTGGCTCTGCAGGGCCTCCACCTCCACCGTTTCCTCCACCACCAGCGGCCGCGGGGCGGGCTGCTCGAAGCTCGGCTTCAAGCATCGCCGCCGCGGCACGAACAAGGCCCTCGGCGGAACGCAGCAGCCGAGCGGCTCCCGCACCCCGCGCCAGGCCAGCAGCGCCGTGCACCGCCAGCGCAGCCCCGCGGGCTGCGGCCAGCGCCGCGCGGCGATCCGTCGCCGCCGCCATCGGAGGCCCGCGGCGGGCCAGGCGGCCCTGCAGCGGCGAGCTCGACGCGGCACGGCTTCCTCCTCCTCCTCCTGCTCCTCCTGCTCCTCCTGCTCCTCCTCCTCCTCCTCCTCCTCCTCCTCCTCCTCCTCCTCCTGCTCCTGCTCCTGCTCCTCCTTTTCCTCCTCCTCCTCCTCCTCCTCCTCCTCCTCCTCCTCCTCCTCCCTTAAGCCTGCATGAGACTAAAATTAGCCGATCGGTTAGATTAGACGAATTCGTCTATTGTTGCCGATCGGCTAAAGTTAACTAATTAGTTTAATTGTGGGGGTAGCTGGTAGGTTAAATCGTAGGTTAAGTTGCAGGTTAGATCTTAGGGGGTAGGTTAGGTTCGGTTATATGTGAGGGGGTAGGTTAGATTATATGTTAGGGGGTAGGTTAGGTTAGATATTAGGTTATGTGTTAGGTTCTATGTTTGGGTATGCGATAACCAGTATGTATAGCATGTATTGTTTTGCACCGTTTTACACAGCAACTGCGTCCAATGCTTTGAACAGCATGCCAAGGGCAACGCAATACTTGCCAATGCCTTTGTTCCCGATCTGCCAGGATGAGCACCGCTTGGCGCAAGAAAGTGCGAGTTTGCGCATCCTTGACATTAGATCTTCGCCACGGAAGCACCACATCTCTTTAGGGTTTGATCGATCCAAGCAGCAGTGCAACAAAACATGTGCTTTTATAGTTATGTGAAACAATTCATTATCCTGCGCGTCTTCGTTATTTACAAAGTAAGCCTGCATCTCGTTCCACAGACACAAGAACGTATGGCACGTGTCTAACAAGTCCAAGCGCATGCTCCTTGGAGTTGTATCGCATTCCTGTGGAATCGCATCCAACTTTTCATCGAGCAGGACACTCAATTGAATTAGCAGCCGAACCTTACGGTGCATCTCAATATCGGGATTCATTCTTTCCTGCCATATTTCAAGGAGGACTGGCCCCAGGCACTTTATCTCAGCAGCTTGTCCTGTGAGGTTTGCCTTCGCCCGATTGCTGAACATAGATACCTTTTATATGGGAAAATCGAGTCTTCACCTTGTCGCGCTTGTAAATGTCAAACATATCTTTCTGTATGGTCGCCATGTTCTGGGCGGGATCACCTATGAGCACATAACGGGTCAAGCAAACCAATTCTGAACCATACATTTGTTTGTCCAAGCCCAACTATTTGATATGCATCCAATCTGGCTTTACCGTCAAAATTGTAACGCCAGGGACCTTACACAACGGGTGTTCTTTCTGATGACCCATGGCCATCCATGTAGCTATAGTTTGCATGTGCGTTAAACATTCAGCGTTTTTTTTTTTTTTCGGAAATCCCACCATGGCATAGTCGTTGAGTTGCAGGGACACCACCCGCACGGGCCATTCAAAATGTTATAACTAGGCACACCCAAGTGCTTAAACATGTAGTCGGGATCACCGATCAGCCCCCGCACGCACGCGTAGTGCCCCCCAGCGAGCAATCCCGTGGGCGAGCCCTCAGGCATCGGATTGCCTAGCTCGTCGATCTCGGGCCACGTGCCCAACCACAGGTGTTCTAGTGACCACCTGAGCTTCCTAAATATATACGTTAAGGTTTTGCCTGCTGCGCCTGACGTTTGAACCGGTTCGGGCAGCACGCAGATCACGAGTTGAGACATGTCGGTCGGCCCTGTCGCAACGAGCGAGCTCCAGCTCCAAATGTCCACGAGTTTCCTCCAAGCTTTCCCAAGGCCAGTAATCGGCGTTCCATCGCCGCGCACAACAATCGGCATGGCCAAGGATTCGTGGTTCGGGCGGCCGCGAATTGGATGTGATAAATATGTTGGCGTCGATCTCGCGTCCTGCCAGAACGCCCGCAGCACTGTGGCGGACGGACACATAAACGATTGCCATGCATTTTTGTGGCAGCGGGACACCTTCGCCAACAAAAAAAAAAAAAAAAAAAAAAAAAACGCACGCGGGCACAACATGTCCATGGTCTGGAAGTGAGTCCCACAAGCGCTCTGCTTCAGAATTGCCCTGAACGGCAGCGGGTAGAAGCATGAATGAGGGGAGCATTTCTTGACAAGCTGGTTGCTCATATGCTGGGGGTGCCGCCCAGAGGTTCCAAGGGACGATCGGAACTGAACCGCGTCCATCTCTAGTAGACCTGCTGCCTGGGCGGCGAGGTCGTCCTTCATGAAACCAGAGATGCGCTGGACTTGTTGCGGAGCCATCCGCCCCCAGCTCCACTCCTGCAACAGGTATGCCGCCAATGTACTATTCACCTTCGCGGCAGCCTCGGCGGCGGCAGCCGCCTTGGCTCGCTGCCTGATGCCGCCGCGCCGCTGGAACACATCCATGGCGTGAACAACAACTGCGAGCCACAGATTTGGAGCGAAATCTCGAGCCGCAACTTTTACGGAACACCTGCGAGTTTGTGTTGAGGGCGGGTTGGGAAGTCCAGTTTGGGTTGAGTTTAAACCCAAAGTCAACTATTTGAACAGTGCAGTTTGGGTTGAGTTTAAACCTAATGTCAACTTTGTGAACAGCGCAGTTTGGGGTTGGGTTCGGATGCAAACTAGACTTCCCAATCCGACCTAAGCGCTTCTGTTTTGTTTAGCTATCAACTGCGACTTGAACGAGCAATGTGGAGCAATGCCGAGAATATCACATAGGCCTCGAAATACAATGACGCGTGCCAAGGCAAATCGAAAAAGGAGCGCCGCACTCGAATTTGAGACCCCCTCCCTTTCGGGAAAAGGGGGGGGGGGTCTCGAATTGGTCCAACGTCTGGCCTCAAACTAAATTGACGCGTGAGCTTGAACCTAGAATGACGCCTGAACTTAACAAAAACACTAGACTCCAATGGTCTGCGTGCTCTCAAGACGCCTCTGGGGGAGGGCGGGGGGATGGGAAGGGGGGGGCGTGATAAGGAAAAGGGTGTGTTTTCAACGGCACAGCGCAGCACTGGCGCACGGAGGTGAAGGCGAGAACGTTGTTGTCCTCGTTGGGCTCGCCGTGCTGCTTCAGGACTTCAGGAGCGCCTTGGCAGCCTTGACGGTCTCCTGCGCCCTCTCCATGTGCACGGTTGTCTGACCGAGCGCAGACTGGATCTTGTTGCAGCTGTAGGCGGCCCCGTCGCTGCACTTCTTGAACCTGTGCATCTTGGTGAGCTCGCGATTGTCCTCCTCCATCTGCTCGATCTGCACCTCCATCTTCTCCTTGACGTCGACTTGCACGCCCGACAGCGTCTTCGCGGCCAGCTTGTCGTAGGCCTTCGTGGTCTCTTTCAGGCATTTCTCCAACGCGACGATCGCCTCCCCGATCTTCTGGCGCGTCTTGCGCGGCACCTCGCCAGGGTCAGCCTTCTTCGCCTCAGCGTTCGTGAACTGGAAGCCAAACTGCATGCGATCGACGGCGTCGGACATCTGCTTCTGCTGCTCTGGCGTTACATGTTTGCCCTTCTGCAACGTGTTCGACTTCGTCACCTCGTGGCTGGACCCGACCACGACCTCGCGGGTGGCGCAGAAACGTTGGCCGTCGACTTGCCATTCCCCCACAGCGCCTGCGCGGATGGCCGCCTCGAGGCCCTTCTCCCCGTCCTTGGGGCGTTCCTTCATGATGTCGAAGTGGACGCCGATGCGTT